AAAGGGTTGAGAAAAGACTCACCGTCGCTTAACACAACTTCGGGTTGACTCGGCGCAGGCACTTGTTTCGTTTCTATTCGCAATACTCGGGGTTCTGTAGCAAAGGAGTACACGCAAATATTCGTTAATGGTAGGAAAAAAAAAATATATCGATATATAAAAGATCAAAACGTGATACATTCCATGGTATGTATGAAAACCCGTTCGTAAATTAAGAACATAAATTTACCGTCTCTACTCTCTTCCTCCGTTTCCGAGGTAACAGAAACTGGTGACTGAATAGGACTCTTGGCAGTGCTGGATTCATGCGTCGCACGACTGATGTTAAAGGATGACAAGGCCTCGGATTCTGATTGTGATTCATCGTCTATTTACAGAATAGGTAATATTAATGGCTCGATTTGGAACGTCCCGGTGAACATTAAGTGGACATAGAGTAATTTCAAGATACGGGATACAAATATAACAAGATCCATGCAAATACGGGAAAAGATTGGACGAGAAAAGTGACGAATGGAACTAACAAGGATCTCCCTTCTGTTTGCGTTCAACTTCTTTCTTGTACTGATCCAATTCTTGATCCGTGACGGCGTCGAAAGGATTTTTGGCATAAGGTGTCTTGTACACCATCGCATTGTGTTGGAAACCACGCTGTATAATACCCTTGCTAGCGGCTCCTACTAAAACTACTTGTTCTCCGGTACCACTAATTGTCGCGTCCTTGTAAACAACGAGTATGCAAAGTTAAAGATGACATAGATATTTTCTGCAGGGCTTTATGAAGTAACTAATATAGTCAGGAAGATGCTATCGTTTCAATTGAAATTCAAATCAGAATAGTACGTGATAATTGCTATTTGACAGGAAGTTTTCTTTTTTTTTCTTTTTTATTTTTGCTAATTTATTAATTGGTAAATATCTAACTAGTTTAAATCAAGAAGAAGATTCAGTTTAAACTTATGTACCTGCATTTTCTTAGCTTCCTCCCATGATACCCCTTCCAATATATGGGATTGTGGACCAGCCGATATTTTCTCTGCTCGTCGATAATCTTTAATCTAGAGAGACGAAAGTGTATCAAACTTGTACGTTTCCATTTGTACAAGCAAAGAGAGCAGAAACAAAGACAAATAGGGATATAATGCAATTGTAACTGTGCTAACACTTACCTGCTGTTGTAATTGTTTGAACTCCTTTGGATTGGTGTTTTTCGGAACAAACTGAAGAGCACTGTCTATCTTGACTGGTGTGCTGCTATGGGTAGGAGATCCATCAGACACCCACTGCACACACAAAACCAGAACATTAGTCGACCCCCTTCAAATCATTGTGAGAAGCAATTATGTTAATATAAGGTAAGAGACTCTTGCATGCTATGTGTGCCTGCTGCATATTTTTCTCCCCTTTAATAGATTATTCCAAATTAATTAAAACCTAGCATACATTCAACAACGTTACACGATTTTGTATTGCAGCTATATATCGTATTGCAACTCATATTTCACATAAATGACAATATACTCGATGTATATTGTCATTCAATGAGTGATTCAAAACAAAATTCCATACATTTACATGCAATACAAATGTACGACTCGGCAACATTATCTGGCAACATTAATTGCTACGTCTAACATTTAGTTTGAAGGAAACAGCTTAGGTTTGCGAAATGTGAAGGGTCACTTGATCTGGTTTTGTAAATGCAGTGGGCTCTGTGCAACCAGGCCAACAAGATCTTGATGATGAGATCAGGCACACATTCATACAGAGTCATGAGAACGCTTGGATATGTTTTATACATGTCTTACATGTATTGTGACATAAGTGCGTTCAACAAGTGCTTAAGTGAGATAAAGTACAATATATTATTTTATTTTATTCCCGCCTTATACTGTGAAATAAAAACTTCCACAAAACTCTCTATCATACTTGTATTAAATGTACAAAACTTTTACCCCAAAATTTCATATGAGATTATTATTCTTGATGGAGGGTAATTTCGCAGAACAGATTAGTCTCAGAATCGTATAATTAGTGTCGATAAATATATTGTAGACGACAACATACACATAACTTCGCATCATATTATAGAAAGCGCTAAATTTATTAACGTAGCTTCTACAAGCTATAAATAGTGCTTGGAACGCTTATTAAAGTTGATAAAATCACCCTCTTTAAACAGCATGTATAACTTTATTTAAACATCAAGAAGCTACAGAAGAACAGTCGTTAATATCTTATATGTAGAGGTACTTATGCTAACGATTGACTGGAATTCAACATGTTTAATGTTTCGTAACTTTTGCTCGCGAAAACGTTAACCTCTCGCTCTCTCGTTCTCTCTTTCGTTTTGCGCGTTTTACTGTCCTTATTATATATATATTATTGTAAAAGATTCTTTATCTTTGTTAATTAAATAATGATGTACTAAGAGAACATTTCTTTGGAAGAATGAGTTATGTATCTAATCATGCCATCTTTGTTGAAATGCAGATAAATGTACGATAAAAAAAACTTATCTTTATATTGCATCATATTGTGCTTATAAAATAAGGAATAATGCATTGATAATAATAATTGGCATTAGTAAAAGATGTTCATATTGCGAAATATTTTCAGATGCACGTATGTGTCGATGAAAATTTCTGCATATGTACATCGACCAAAATTTTGAGGTTATAATTTCAATAATAACGATAGCTTTTCATTAATATCCTGATATAACGCGATCCGTGTTTATACACATAAATCACGTACGAGCGTGTATACACACAGGAACATATACACACATTGGTCATAGCATAGAATCTAAATATGTGATTTTTGCTCCAATTTTAAACTTTTAATTCAATATAATCGCATTAATAAGCTTTTATATAAATAATATCAATCAAGCTCTGCTGTAACAAGAGTTAGAGTTTATATCTATAGTTTAAGAAGAGCAATATATGTCAGTATATATTCCAACCAACATTAAATATATTATTTGTTCAATGAGACATTTTGCCATGATTAAAGTAGTTACATAATGTGAAAGGTATCATTTTCGTAACGTATCAGCATGTTGAGAATTAATGGCACGAGTTGGAATGCATGGAATTTATATAAATAATCGTGATTAATTAACACATACTTGTGTGTATGCGCTTGTACAGTAAAATTAAAATTAAAAAAAAAAAAAAAAAACGGTTTGATGAAAAAACAAGATAAAATTGCACAACACAGCGTGATATATAATGCAATTGACTGCTAACAAAATGGAATAACCAATGCATTACGTTGCATTGCATACATGAATATACTATCTATTTACGGCCGTAAATATGCGCATTTGTCTTTCTCAATCATCGCTAAGAATATCTTCAACATTGTTCATAAAATAAAATTATTACTCACGAAAAACAAACCAAGAAATCTTAATAATATCACCCCGTGGTATTAAATTCACAAAAGTCTAATATCAAAAAATTTGTTTTCTTCTAAAACAAATTTGCAATACAATTGCAGAAAAAGATAAATATCAGAGAGTCTAAAAAAGAGAGAATTATATTCCAAAATTAAGCGAAAATAAATCGAAGATAAACGGTTCTACATATATATCAATATATATATGTTATAACTATTAATATATATATCAATATGTCATAACTATTTAATTTTGCACTTGACATTTAAAGCTTTCCTTCCTCGTTATTACGCAAATCCGATTAGCAGCCACAATACGTGATTATAATTGCCAAATAAGAATGCTTATATTAAATTTAGCCTGGGGCGAAATCGTGCGCGGAAATGAGTGAATAATTAGTCGTTCTTATTCTCAAAAGTAATGACTTCTACCTTGGTGATCTTTTTAGGATCGGGTGTTCCAGTTTCCAGGATTTCAACCTTCTGGTAGACATTTGGTGAATTTAACCAACGGGATCTGTCCGTGCCCTTTCGTCCGCCCTTCCACAGCCTATTTGGAAAAAGAAAAGAGAAATTCGGTTGGGCATTGACTGCTCTGTATATGCGTCTAAGTAAAATTACGTTCGAAGGGAAGTAGAAACTTACCCTTGTTTATATAATTCTTCCTCCTCGAGCAGATATCCTAAGGACGATACGGCCGGTGGAACTTCAACATCGTTTCGTGGTCTCGGGGGTTCTCCCTTTACAAGTGGATTTCTATATATGTAGCCCGTACGGAATCCCTGAGAGAAGAAGAAAAAAGAAACGCGATATTCAGATAGATTCCGATACAAACATTATACACCGGCGAATAGTTTTCTAGGCCAAAGACTTACAGCGTTATCGAGCATTCTCATGAGGGCTTCGAACTCAGCGCCGCCGATTCTCCAACGTTTCTCGAGCTTCTCCGCGAGTGCGGACGACTCTACCGCTGAGGTTTGTTGCTGAGGGATCGGCGGTTTTCGCGACGCCTCGAATATAGCTTTCTTCGATTCCTCGCTGATAAGGCTTAGATTATCTACGCCCGCGGGCATTAGCTTCAGCTGCGTCTCACAGGCGACTACGGTATTGTAAACGTTAAAGAACGCCTCTTCCACGGTTTCTCCGCAGCAAAGAGCACCGCGATTCGTCAGGAGCATAACCTTATTGATCGGTCCGAGGTTTCTAGCAATCTTCTCACGTTCCTCCGGCTCGACGGAACCTCCTATGTACTGATGGGTGCTCACTTCGCCTATCACTATGCTCTCCTGACCGATTGGTAACAATCCACACTTGAGGGAGGAAACCTACGTAACATGTCACGCGCGTGCGTCAGTCAATTCCTTTCGCAGTAGAGCTATTGCAATAAATGTTGGTCATCAACCGCGTCGTTAAGGCGACATGGCGCAATCGAGCGTAAACGAGCATGCAAACGCTCGTAAAAGATATACGAGGTATGCGCGAGACAGACGAGAAACGGATCATCGGAGAATGAAAGAAATTAGAGACGAAACGTTTACTCACAGCGGTAACGGACGGAGTAGTAATATGAATAATACACTTGATATCGGGTCTCGCAGCGTGTATTGTCGAGTGTAATTGGAAACCGGCGACGTGCACGCCGAAGTTGGTCGTCCCCTGTTCGACAATCGTGCCCTGCATGTCCACCTTGATCAAACTCGAGGCGGTGACCTCGTGATAGAGTAGCCCGTAAGGATTCACCAAAAAATGCTCCTGGTCCTGATTGAGACGGGAAGTGATTTGCCCGCCGACGCCCTGCGTCCATCCGTAAAGATCGAGCAATCTGAAAACCGCCGCCATCTTGCACCGTAGCAATTTCTCGCCCTTGGCGTATCCCATGCTCTCCACGCCGCGTATGTCGTTGATAGGCAAGACGCAATTCGAATCTGCACATTTCCCAAGCGAACACCATGTCAGAATAAAGTTAGGACAGAAAACGGGGGGAGATGTTTTCGAGGAATAATAATTTTAAACGGGGGGTACTAACTTTTGAACACATTGCCATTGAATCGGGCTCCCTGTGCACCCATCATGTCAGAGATCTGTTGCAGAAGACCAGAGGGTCCAGCACCATCCCTCATCTGTGTCTCAATTATACGTTCCAGCTCTTCCCGGAAGATTCGTGAGTTCATCATCATCTCGACCCTCTTTCTCCTCTCCATTTCTCTCATATCCTGTAAATGAATAGAATCCTCTTGTTTAACACACATTTGCATGTGATTGGATTATGAATTCCGTTTGTTTTTCAAGCGCCTTTCTCGCGCTGCTGGCGAAACTCACGCATAAATAACCACTAAATGTTAAACTTTCTTCGATTTCTATTATTGAAGAAACGTTTGACCGCCGTCTCTTCCACGAAACTTACCGCATCGATATCGGCGGGTCTCATCTTGCTTTTTTCATCTTCCGTCAAACCGTCCACCATTCCGTTCGTGTGTGGCTCGCTTAATGCTTGTTGGCTCGTGTCTGCCATCTTCGAGCCTCGTACAAGTATCGGCAACTATAAAATATCATGTTCCAATATCATCCCTATAGCTAGCTATAAAAATCTTAGAATCTTGGAATTTCAACGTTTTTAATTGATTAAAATTTTAAATTATTTATTCCAAATCGTGTAACGGACATTAAAAGTACTAAAACATACTAAAACGAAAATATTAATATCAATGTAATGTCATTAATATAATTAAATTAATATTAATTGATATGAAATCATGATATTAGGTATAATAAACATAAACTATCGTTCCGCGTGGCAATTAAAGATCTCTTTAACACGTCTGTTCTATGATCTCAGTAAGAACAGCGAACAATGAAGAATGAACTCGAACAGGAACGCGACTGACAACTGAAAGCGATCACGAAGGTCTGCAGCTTAGTGTTTCGCCGAAGCGTCAGTCGCCGTTGTTTCGTGAAACGCGAAAGCGGCATTTACGCTCGTTTCTTCCGAATCCGGTGCGAGGTATGGACACCTTACCGGTGTGTGCGATCAATAAAGTTGCGGGGCCCTACCGGGAATCGTGTGCGTGCAACGACGCGAACACCGCGTATACGCATTCCCTTTATTCGACCACGACGACGACGACGACGACGGGGAGCGGGGGAGGGGGGTTTCGGGGATTCCGTATCCGGTTATTCGATCCATTTTTTCCCTTAATTACTCGCGGGCGTCGTCCCGTTAACGATGTAAAATAGAATGCTCAACTGTGCCGGCTATTTTACTCGCGCGACGTTCGCTCGGCTCGGGATCTGTGTCAACGGTCGTTCACCGCTTGGCTTTCCTTACGCCAAGTACCGGTGCATCGCTCCACGCAACGCTCTCGTATACCCGGCTACGCGCGTCCTCACATCCTACGGCACCGCTTTTCACCTTTTCACGCCGCGTTTCCCTCGTCATCCATCGACCGGAAATCCCACGCTGAATGTTTCGCGAGCGTGAGCAATCATCGCGGCGGCGTCGTACGCGACCGCAACACAGCGCGTTCTAATTCGCAAAATGTATTCCCTTTCGCCTGGCAACGTCTTGTTCTCTCACGCATCAAGATCGATATACGCGACGAGATCATCTACAAAAGCCGCAAACCGACAAGTCTTGCTTTGCCAACGAGACTGATTCGCTCCGCCGCCTGTGACTTGAGCTTCCGACTGACTTGTTACCGCGCCGGAAAACGTGCGTCATGCGTGTGCACTTCCGCTGTAACAACGAACAAAATAAAAGAGACAGAGAGAGAGAGAGAGAGAGAGAGAGAGAGAGAAAAGCACGATGGTTGACCGCAGATTACGTAGCACGCAAGCGCGAAACACAACGCGAGAACAATCAGTCCGTTCGATTGTACGTCCAAATTCTTCCTACCACATGATTTTATATATATGTGTCTTATATTCCTTGATAGTCTATCGGGATAGCAATCGATAATCCCGTGAACTTAATGTGAGACAGCCAGGAGCCTGCTATTCTGTTTACCTACTCGGCACTACGTTATACGTTTGAGATTTATATTCGTCGATTATCTCATCGCACATACATTGTATTATGTCTCGTCACTATTTTTGCTTCTATACTTGTATTATATATTTTTCTGATAATATCATTAATATATTTTTTAATATTAATTGTAATATAAAATTGCTATTGACATTTATTTTTCAAGTATATTAATATTATCAATATTAAAATTAGTTGTAATAAGAAATTGATATTAATATAAATTTTACACATGTAAAATCATTACATGTATAAAATAAATTGCTTGCAAACGCAAGTTGTATCTATCTAACGCGAAAATATAAATAATTGCGCATGGTATTTGCAGAGTATCATCATTTGAAATTTTGCCAAGTACAAGAAACGCTCGACAACGATTCACTTTCGTCAGCCAAGATATATGTACTTTCGATACACTTTGACCGAATTCAGTTCGGGAGAAAAAAAAATGCAGCGACGACCGTGAACGGTAGCTCGGTGCGAATTGATGGTAATTAATGTTAAGGGGTTGAGGTATTCGGCGTAAGTGGCTTCGTTTAAGTCCCTCGCGTATACGCGCGTTTGGCTTCGTTGACAGCACGATACACGGATGCCGTAATATCGGTGTCGCGATATTGACCAAGTGGCAATCGACGTAGGAAAAAAAAAAAAAAAAAAAAAAAAAAGAGGACATTACGTCAACAGAAGAACGCAACAAATATTCCCGCGAACGATGAACGACGAATGCTCGACCACAGCTATCTCTTTTCGAGCAGACGGAGGGATGGGTTTCCATAATGTGTAAATCACCGAGTCGATTACGCACTCTGATGCGCTTTTAAAGTAATCATCAGTTCACGCTCGCAACCACGCTCGGCTGGAAGTTCTCTAACTGCAAACTCCTCGAAGCACAACGGCGACTTCTATTCCAGATTCAGTGGGGTTCCATCTTCCCGGAGTCGCGTCCCATTCGTAAATAACGCTTATCTTCGACGATAACGGGACAATGCGAATCGTCTCTCCGCAAGCTGAATGAAAGCGATCGCGGGCCGACCGGGTTCGCTATACGCTTACTGGCGCGAGTCCGAGAGTCCTCGTCTTAAAATAGAGAGAAACCAGGGACGAAGTCGCGGTGAGACGAACAGCGCACGTTTTCCGTCAGCTAATCTCACTTCTTTCTCTCGTTCCAGGGTAATCGGGAATCGCATGTTCGAGGTACAACGGTTTCCTACCTCACCTTCGTCTTAAAGCGGCACTGAAACAACGAAGAGCGTTCTGTGAGTCTACGATAAAATCGATAGATAATATTTCGCATCGATTCAACGGTCCATTGTGTGTTCCGCAGCTTCTATCTCGGATCCGTTGTTCAATCCCGATGATCGATCTGTAGAAGCGACCGTGATCGAAGAAAAAAAAAAGAGGGAAAGGCTCGAAACGACCCGTGTGTTGTGGCGACGCTCGATGCGAGGACTCGTTTGATACGATGATTAGTCGCCCTTACGCAACCCGTAGCCGTGGAATTATACGCGGTGCGTACGTGCGTGCATGAGTGCGTGTGCACCTGCACACGTGCTTGTCTCTCTCACACTTGTTCGCAGGCCCGAAGAGATACGGGTTTTTTCGAGCAGATTCGTTTGACTTTTGCATTGCATTTGTTGTCAAATGCAGTCTTATACCGGTCTCTGAATTTCTAAGGGTATTTCTTCCAAGGGTATGCGTAGGTGAATCTTAAATTAAAAATCGTCTTGTTTAATTCAGGATCTCAAGATTCATCCATTTAATAAATAACTGCAAAACACCTCAAGATCATATTAAAATGATGTTATAAATAAATATAAGATCGGACTACGAGTATCGCCCCAAGCCAGTCGATCTTTCCCTCGATTTTACTCGTCAAATTATAGACGTAATCCAAGAGTACGTAATTATCAGGGAGCAGCGGGACGAACGATCGATAACGCCATCAACGACGATGATAAATCGATCCGCGGAAAGCGACGTTCAACGATGACCGCCCGGATCCGGAGATCGACGACGCGGTGGGTGACTTTTGACAAAATGGCATCGTGCCACTGAATATCTGTAGGCTCCGCTAATGCCTGACATCATATGCCAAAACGAACGCGCGCGGACGCGGATTATCGTCGAACGCTCGACCGGCTCGACGCCGGACGGCCGCGGCGGACACTTAACGGAATGACGTCATGGTTAATCGCAGATTACGCCCGTCGTAGAGCGAGCGAGCGTCGTGAAACGCTATCAGCTATCAGAGAAACGAAAGTAACAACAACCGGGAGAGGGAGAAAGAGGGGAAAAAAAAAGAAAGAGAAGCAATGAAGAGACACAATTGCTCACGCGGAGTGGATATACAACATCGATTATCAGAAACTCTCGCTTAATATTAGCTTTTCATGTCGCATTTTAATTCATATGTATTAATTTTTATCTACAGTTGGACAGTTCACGTCGTATATATACGCTCTTAAAGCGGCTGTCTCAAACCATCTCTCGAATGTAGGTCCCTAAAACCTGTTGGTGCGGCAACCATTAACAGACACAATCGAAAATAACAGAATACGTGAATTATCCAATTATGAAATTATCGAAGAAGAAATCGGCAATAATTCTTTCTCTTTCATTCTGTCTATGTATAATATACATGGATATACCCACATATCTTTCTCTCTTCCATGAATCTATCTATAGCCTACGGTTACCGGGACGCGTCACGGATCGGAATTCCGCCGGAATTCAATTATAACGACGAAATTTGCAAAACTTATTCCCGATATGACACAACGGAATCCGTCGCGAGCCAATCCCGTACGATACGACGGACAGGTTCAAAACGCAACGATTTCGCGATACGAGCGAGCGTAATTAGCCAAGCGCGACGACGCGACGTTTAACCCGAGGACTGAGCGTCGATCGTCGCCCATCGGAGCGGTCGCGCCGAGAGCAGCTCGAGATACGTGAGCGCGATAAGAGTGCACAATCGCACGGCGCGTTCGGAGGCGGTGACAGAGGACCGTGCAAATGGCGACATTTTCGGAGAGGAGAGAGAAAGAGAGAGAGAGAGCGAATTTTAGGGATCCCGTTTCGGGAGCCGAAACGGGAATGAAACGTAGAGAGCCCGTCATCGTCGACGAAGAAGCGGCGAGTCGCGAAGCGGCGCGGCTCGCGCACAATCACAAGCCGACGATGATGCTCGGCGACGAAAAGTCGCGGCGAGTCGCGTGGCCACGTCGCGTCGCGACGCGACGCGACGCAACGCGGCGCGGCACGGCGCCGTGCGAATAGTGGCACACAAGGGCCGACACACCCCTCGCGCCTACGTCATTCATCGGTCGGGCGCGAGCGGCGAGGCGCCGAGAGGCAGAGAGCGACTCCGTTCCGCGAGGTCCCGCGGGTTTCGAGCAGCTCGAGCGCGGATTGGGATTACGGGATGGCCATCGCCGCTCGCTAACGCGCCGTCCGTCCGTCGCTACGGCGGACGACGGCGACGGCCGCTGTTCGTAAACGTCAACGAAGTGTACACTTACCTACCAAGGAATCGCCGCCAGCCGCCGCCTCCTCCTATCCCGTGATATGCCCGCGCCCGTTTCACGAACCGTACAACGAACGCAACTCGGGCCACGCTCCTCCGTATCGCCGCTCCTCCGCGCGCGCGGCTGTTCCGTTCGATGAACAGCTTCCCCCCGCCTCCTCCCCCACCGCCGTCACCGTCGCTGCCGCCGCCTCCACCACCGCCAACGCCACTGCCTCTTGTCTCTGCCTCCACCGGCGTCGCTGAGCCCGACGCACCTCTTGGCCGCCGCCGCCGCCGCCGCCGCCGTCGATTTCCCGCACAAATTCCTTCCTCCGTCCTCGCTCTGTCCGACAGGACGAAATTTACTGTCCGCACATTGATGAGCCGCGACAATGCTGCGATATCGTTCCAGCGGTTCGAGAACTCGTCTCACGCGACGGACAATTTTCACCAGGACTCGCGGAAAAGATCGCGTAGTGAACGTACCTCCGTTCCACGCCGCGCGACCAGAACGCGCGGAATCGATTGCCGGGGCCGTTGAGCTGCCGACGATTACCGGTCACTGTTACTGATCGCCAACACTTTTCGAGAAAATACCGCGCGGTTGTGTCTTGTGTCTCAAACAAGCCATGAATACCATAGAGAGAGACGGACACCGAGACTCGAGTGGAGTGGCCATCGGACGAAAGTGACGAAACTTGGAAAAGCCGCACGCGCCACGCGGATCTCTGGTGTCATCTGTCGTCGGTCGTGGCAACCTTCACGAGCAGCAGGTTTACCAACATGTGGCAGTAATTTTCTCATCTGCGTATCTCCCTAGATTTTGACGTCGAAAATCTTTACTCTCTTGCTCTTATTTTAAAAATTTTCTAAAATATTAATAAAGAAAAGAGATGGTATTAAAATTGGATTTGTACAATAATATAATTTTAATTTTATCGGCAGTATCAGAAAATGATGGTGCTATGTAGTTCCATCTCAAAAGTGGAAGCAATTGCGGCGCTAGTGTACGGAAGAGGTTAAAACTTTGCCAATTCTTTTACGGGTGTCGATCAAGGCACGCTTTATTCTTTGTTACTGTTTTGTTTTCCAACGATGTATGTACAAGTTTCGTAATTTTGACAATGCATCGTTGAAGTTGTAGCGATTGATTGTTGCAAACGGCTGATTATATAACACGTTTCTCTTACAGACCAATCATGCAGTGTTTTGCAAGCATCGATATCAGAACAATTCATCTCTTACACATACGTGCATATGATTAAGATAAGCTTAGATAATGCACAGATTTGATAAATGTAATAATAGATTAAAATCATGGATATTAAGAAAAAGAAACAAGTGAAACAACATATGTATATATTTATATCAAAGAGGTAAGATCGTAAGATCTTAATTTTTGTATGACATTCATTTTTTCGCTTTTGAAAAACGTTAAACGTTAAATACCCACATTAATTAACTTAATAAGCAATTAATTCCATCAATAGAATCGTTTGTAGTAAATTTTCCTGCAGCTATATAATTCAGCATGTTCGTAATCTAATCTTCATTCCTTCCGTCTTAAATAAGGAACAAATAAATGACAGTTTTTATATTGATAAAACAGTAAACTGGTATTGCTTGATAAATTGTTGATTATAAATTGGAGTTCAATTCAAATTATCCTTACGTATTTAGCGATTTTGTTGTAAGCAATTCGGATTATCCGTCTATCTAGCTGAATTTTATCACCTGTTAATAAGTTTTATTTATTCAATGACTGATATTCTACGATAACAATTTCTATTTTAGGAAGACTCGACTTCCTGTATTCATATAATCAGATTACAAAGAGAAAGAGTATACAAATGTATTACAATTAATGATAGCGATTCCAATTATAGATTAGGAACGCACAGAGATTAAATATTTCGCTTATCAAATTATACCTATATAATATTTTTATGAAAAACGATTTGTCGAGATCGATTCTCCAATTCGTAATCATGATCGATAATTTACGTAATAATGCCATTTAAAAATAAAAATTGCATACATTAAAAAAAATTTTTTTTAATTCGTTAGATCGTTAATTCTCAATGTTATTGCGATAACGTTATTTCATAATCTCTGAAAATGCAATCGTCATCGGGACTACCGACAGCTGCAAATCGGTATACATACGCGAATGTTTCTGTTTAAACAGAAAAAAAAAAAAAAAAACTCGACGATAAGAATTTGACGCAAACACTCACTGATAATTGATAAGAATCAATTTCAGGATAACAGTATACGTATATGTCACAATGCACCGAATAAACGAGGGCCGGGGATGGAGGAGGCGCGGCTGGAGTAGATACCCCAAGCAGGCCGGCAGGCAGCTATCGAGGCAATTAACTCCTTATTTCTTCATTACGCAACAACCTGTTTTGGCCGCCTACTGGAAAGAATCAATCCGGATCGGCTTCGCTCGACCAGCACGAAGCGAAGAGGCCGGGTCTGACACGCAGCAAATCATCCCGCTCAGTATTAACTCGACCTGCGGACCGCCAGCATACCACACGTCGATTCTTCGCATACCTTCTCGAGGACCCTCCCGAGGAAGACACTAGACAAACGATGAACGCGTCCATTCTCAGATCTGCCTTCCGCGAAGTACGTGAGCACGCACAGTCCTTTCCCTTTGTTCGGTTAAATTTATGTAAAGCGACTCCGCGCGCGAGTCGCCTAACGAGTTTCTTACGATTTGAACCATTTGCTTTATTTTCTTTAAACACCCGTAAGGATTCATAATTCAACCTGGGAAGTGTAATTGCTTGTTTATACACTTGTTATTGCTATTTTATATAATTTACACGCTGGAAACACCAGCGATTATCTAAATTCAATTGTATTTCTCTTTTATTTCTATTTTAGTATTATTTCACAAAGCGTCTTGTGCAGTAATCGCGATCGCGATGAACAGATTGATTTCTTCGATTAATTTACCGTATTTATGCAAAATATGCTATACCAAAGTACTGATACAAAGATAAATATATTCTATATAAATTTCTGTATAAATTTATGGAGCGAAGATAAGGGCATATTTTAGCACCTCTTATCTGTACCTACAGTTGTAAATTATTTTTTTTATCGGCTTGAGCTTGAATTATTAAACTTTTTATCGTTTAATATTTCACCAGTCTCTATCAAATCAAATATTTGACTATACAGCATTTTCCAATGATGAGTCAGATATAAAACAATGAGAAAAGAATTTCGGAAATGCTTTAAGTTACTTCCGAGTACATATTTTAGTCTTCTTTACATTGTGTGTGTATCTACAATCGTGGACATATCGGTTGCGACATAGGTATTTTTCATAGGCATTTTTAGTATATATTTAATATATTTTTTATAACTAATATTTTGCAAATGCGAACTACGGTGATGGTGATACTACTCGTATCTTTAGTCTAGAGACAGTACACCAATCGTGGTTCGCATTTGCAAAATATTAGTGCATTTCGAAATTTATTTAAAAAAGAAAGTGTCGCAACCAACATATGTCTACGCTTAGAACATATATTATAGTATATGTAGTATGTTCTAAGTGTCTACGACTGTACACATATACATATAAACACACACGTTATCTGATACGTAGAATCAAAAGTTATTATCTTCCGGAATATATTCAGTTTATACAACTGAATGTCATACCCTAAGGTTAAATAACTCGTCATAATAATTGGTAGAACCACAAACACATTAATTTTCTGCACGCACGCACATGTTTGTCTTAGTCGTTAGCACAAGGAAGACAAAAATATCTATTCTTGAACGAATAAAAAAATTTTGCGCGTTAACAAATTGCTTTTTTTATGCGACGTTACGTAAACAAAGTAATATTTCGAACAAAATATAACACGTGTACACGCGTTTGCAGATACCGCAAAGGCTAACGCGACAACGAAAAATACATTTATGTGCGTCAAGACTCAATCTCAATCCAAGCCCCTTGACGCAATTTACGGATGATGAGTTGATGATGAAAGAAACTGGTAAGTGCCAATCTTTTAGCCATCGGAAGTAAACGATAAACGAGCTCGTTATATGCAGGCGATGTAAAACCTGTTTATTATCTTGCCATGTATCTTCATTTCTTAGTTCATATAAAATCATTTTGTATTTTTTTTTAATTTTACATGCTCTCAGTCGCTAGACTGGCTAAGGAGGAGATCTCACCACTTGTACGAAAGATGGAAAAGGAGGGCAAAGTAGATGACGGTGTTTTGAAAGCGCTGTTCGAGAATGGCGTAAGTTTGATGGACTCTTTCTGAAATAATTACTTAAATTTTAAATTTTCGTATCGAATATATATACAAGATATCCTATTTATTTCATCGATTTTTGCTGGAATATGTAAGGAAAATGTTTTAAACCAAGTGATTTATTAAATAATATACAGTATTAATACGAAATATAGATAATTAACATTTATATTATCCAATGCATTTATGATCGCGGTCTATGAGACACGTGAATGTTCTCGTTCATGAGTGACGGTAATCTACAATTTAAAAAATTCTAATTAAATTTAAAAATCAAAGAATGCATCGTTGATATGTATTTAATTAGATAATAGCAAGCGAACATGGTAGACGTGGGGCTGTAAAGCGTTCAAATGGACGTTTAAGTGAACGCGTTAAATTGAAAGTGATCGTAATTTGTAGACACAGCCGGTCTTGCGACTTGTTCCACTTGTGCGTAAAAAAAAAAAAAAAAAAAAAACACCATTCGGTGCGAGACTTATTCGACAACTGGAACGAATCAATATTCCAATCGTTAAAAAGAAAAAAAATCAAACTTGGTTCGAATAAATTTAGTTTCCCAAGATAATACTCCCGAATTTTTCATTAACAAGAATTCGAAGAGAAAATTGTTAATTTATTATCGCACTCGCTCGTATTAGCCTCAAATTGAACTTATAGGTAATACTTGTTTTTTATATTTTATTTATACTCATAAAATAGCTGATAAACTTTGTACATGCGATTTTGGCGAAAAGTCTAATTGTAAGTCTAGAAATTTCTATATCAATTTCAAGTTTCGATAAAATATATTTACGCTAATTCTAATAAAAATTATGTTATCTGACCATACGAATGTTGCACAAATGTGATAATGATTGCGACAACATGTTTGGCCTATTAATCGCATAAAAGTGTGACGTAGCATGCATTAAATTAGAAAGTCGGAAAAAGAGATAAGTTCCTTCCTTACGAATTGCTCGAAGACAAGACACTCTTTATCGCTTATCGTGTGGAGATATTTTTTTATCATTCGCGTATGTATATATTAAGGATATTTCTTATTGTACGTCGAGTTGTAGAGAAATCTTGACTTTACACCTTCTGTGAGGAAATACATCTTATCGGTGTATTTTGTTTTCATATACGGATCGTGACAAAGCTGATTTTTCCTCCGCTGATGTTAATATCTTTTCATTTTCAGCATCAAAATCATACATTTCAATGTAACTCTCGCAAACAGTACTTGAACAAAGCCAACCTTGAAAAATTTCTTGCTACGTTCTGGTTAGGAGAAAAAAGAATTAATTCCATAGAATTTTATAAAATGTCTAACAATAAAATCACAATACCAGCCTTGCACAAAACACGATACCGATTCTTTCGTTAACCGTTATTCTGTGAAAAACAAAGTCTCGCGTGTGACCGACACGGTCTTTTGCATAATGCGGCAGAGAACGGACGATAGAAGAAAATCTATTACGTTGCTCAAGACAGATTCATAATATTCTGACAAAGTCTCTCTTTAAATATAAACATGTAAATTAATATAATGAAAAAATATATCATCTTAATTTTGTCTTAAATTTGGAAAATTTCAGTTGATGGGCCTCGAAATTCCAACGGATTACGGTGGCGCAGGCTGTAATTTTATGAGCACAATTTTGACCGTCGAAGAAGTCGCGAAAGTTGACGGGGCTGTAGCCGCTCTTGTTGACATTCATAACACATTAGTCAATTCATTGATCATCAAAGTTGCCTCTGAAGAACATAAACAGAAATATCTGCCTAAATTGGCGCAAAACTACGTAAGTTGTTACACGTTTTCGTTGCTGAGAGTGCTGAGACGCATAGACAGAAAAACAGAACAAAATATATACGACAACGATATCTTTTTCAGGCCGGTAGCTTTTGCCTGACGGAACCTGGATCCGGATCAGACGCGTTTTCTCTTAAGACCGAAGCGAAAAAGGATGGCGGCGACTATGTGATAAACGGAACGAAGATGTGGATCTCGAACTCCGATATCGCAGGGGTTTTCTTGGTTTTCGCCAATGCAAATACTGCCGCGGTGAGTAAATTTTTACATAGTGTAAGTATGTAAAAAACAAAAAATAGAAATGTACGAAATCATTACGTAACGCTTTTTTTAATTAAATAGAAATACCGCGGCATCACGACATTCTTCGTGGAGCGCGATACGCCCGGTTTGACTGTAGCTAAACCTGAAGATAAACTAGGCATTAAGGCATCCGGAACTTGCATGATCCATTTCGACAACGTCAGGGTATGTAGAAAAAAAACCTCGCGCGTGCACGCCTTGTATAGTACACTACAAGATACGTTTGTTATACTATATACAATTCCTTTTCCTTTTTCTACATAGGTACCTGAAAGTAATATCTTGGGCGAGTTTGGCCACGGATACAAGTATGCGGCTGGATTCCTCAACGAAGGTAGGGTGGGGATAGGAGCTCAAATGATTGGTATAGCGCAAGGATGTTTGGACGCGACTATACCGTATACACTGGAGAGGAAACAATTTGGAAAGGACATTTTCTCATTCCAAGTATGCTCTCGTTAATCTACGAAAGAAATAATGTGTATAACGTGTATAAGAGATCTAAAAAATAATGCTCGTTTTCAGTCGATGCAACATCAAATAGCTCAGGCGGTAACCGACTTGGAATGCGCCAGGTTGTTGGTTTACAATGCAGCTAGATTGGTAGACGCTAAAAAAGACGTTATGAAGGAAGCGGCTATGGCGAAATTAGTTGCATCCGGTATGTTAATTTATTAATTTGTCGTAAATTCAAGGCTGTATATAATAAAATGCTAATGTATATTACATTCATAGAAACGGCATTACGTGTGACAGCAAAATGTATAGACTTTATGGGAGGCGTCGGATTTACGACGGACTTTCCTCAAGAGAAATTTTTCAGAGATTCGAAAATCGGCACTATTTACGAAGGTACAAGCAATATGCAGTTGTCAACGATCGCAAAATGTATACGCAAGGAATACTCGTAAATTAGTATAATCCTTTAAACTTGTTAATGTTATGTTTAGCTTATACATTATATACTTGTATAATTTTTAAAAGTGAATCATCACTGATTTTCGATGTATATTGTTTTCCAGTGGCATATTTACTGTGATAAACAGTGATAAACAGTGAGTATCTCAAAGTTGTTTCAGTGATAATATATACTGATTCAAACAGTGAACATCACTGAAAGAGTGAATTTCAGTTCTCAAAACTGTTTGACAATGAAATTCACTGTCTTTAACAATGATATTGACACTGTTTGAATCAGTACATATTATCACTAAAAGTACCTTGAAATACTCATTATTTATTACAGTTCCAAGTCACTGGAAAATGATATAAACTGAAAATCAGTGATGATTCCACTGATTTGACTTTCGGAGAGTATGACAAGATGTTTTAGATAAAGTACATATATTATTTTCTTCATTTAAAAAATATATATTTTTGTACTTTTATATATCATAACTCGATTATCATCAAATATATAAAAGACATCCAATTTTGATCAACAAGTCCTACAAGTAGACAAGTAGTCAAAATTGAACAAAGTAAATTTACCACGGTAACATGTATAATAGAGGTACAAAGATGTGCTACATGGAATAAAATTAAACTGTTTGATAATATCTGTAATGATAAATCACTATTTAGATTATTTTAGACGTACAATAAATACAGATCGATACAAAGTACAAATAGTCGTCATCGCTAACAACAATTAAAAGATTTCTATTTTGATCCATTCTACTTTGGATCGTGGGGTAGCTTAAAACCCACGAGGTCCGCAGTTTCCTTTATGCTACGTTCACCTTTACCAGCGTACTGCTTATGAATCTCTTTACACGCCTGTTGAGATCTCAAATAACAAAGATACATCTCTGCTAAATTCTTCAATTCCTCTCGCGCTTTACACAAAACTTGGGACGTTTCTTTATGTGCATGCGCCTGTTCCATGATATACCGTAACATTGCATTCTCTTTCGTATTTTTAGTCTGCGAGACCCGGCGCAGCTCTTGCACGAGGGAACGAACAATTTTAATATTGCTATTCATTGTCGCTGCTATTCTGAAAGCAAATTGGAATCATTAGTCGCGCGACAGTCAGAGGAAAGAATTGCGTTCTATCAACACAATGATAATTCTAAAGGAATTCTAAATAAGATAATTACAGTGGATTATTTGTCACTGCGAGGCTGTAACGAATTCAACGTCCTTGGTTAAATACTGCGGTTCCTCTTTGTAGCTCCAGAAACCTGCCGGGACCTTGAGCAGGTCTTGCTTGGTAAAGATATGAACGTTAAGATCGTTGAAAACTTCCTCGTACGCGAAGGAATTTTCCAATCGAAACTCTGTAACATAAGGTCGAATGCGTAGTATGTAGCCTGCCGTATTCGACACGTCTCTAAGCAAGCAATTGTCGACGGTGTCCGAGAGACTGTTGGAAAGCAGGATACAGTCGCTCAGTCCGTCGCCCCAGTTGGCGTAGAGGAAATTATTGGTCAACTGCCGCGAGCAGTGCGGCATAAACACGAGGGTGGTCCTGTCCCGCTGGACCAAGCGCTTGCCCTCCTCGTTCGTCCCTATAACCTCCAATCCCAAGGCGCGCAAAGTTTGCACCTCCTCGGGACGAAAGGCCGGGTCGTACACGTGCACGCCGCTAGCCGGCCCGTATCGCGCCTTCAGGCACAGCAGGAGCGCTAATTGGCATCTCGACGACCTAGACTGCGAGAACCGTCCTAACCCGTAGCAGACTATCTCGGAAATACCGCTGGAGCCTAGAACGGCTAGGGACTCTGTCAGCCGACTAAAAACGAACCTGGCGAACGACGTATCTCCGATCTCGACTACCGCCTTGTCTAACGTGCTGAAAATCGTCGTAAAAAAAGAAAAAAACGTGATTGCGATTAGAATCAACGTGCGCGTTTAGGTTAGGACTGCCGAATCAGGCTGAGACGAGACGTAACCTGAAAGCCACGGCACGGCTTACCAAAGAAGAAGCTCGCGATCGATCTTGCAGTCCTGCTTCACGTCCACGCTCGGCATAACCGTGTTTCCACTTAAATTCCGCCTCCCGTTACGACGTTTTCCACGACGAGTCACTAGCACAAAGTCGTTCGCCTCGGACATAACCACAAAACTGAACGGCATGAACTGAACTGATTACCGACTTTATCGATTGAACGTAGCGCCGCTCGTTATTACTCCGTCTTTCTCCGTCAGATGACTCTACCAATCGCGCTCGCGCTTTTCGAGTTTTTACTTTTTTTAACAATTAAATTTTTCTAAAAAAAGAAGACGTCTCTTTCGCATAATTAAATGTCCATAATAGTGTCCAATTTAAATATAATGGCAATCGGCATTAATATATGATCTGTATATTATATACACGGCGGCAATCTGTCTCAATTTTTGTTAAAAAAAAACTACGCTTGCGGCTTGCGTCGCTGCAGGCGATGTCTGTAGCTATGTATATTGTTGACATTCAATTGCGTTTGAACTTTTCCGACGGTCTCGTGTTTTTTTAGAATTAATTAACTTTTTTATTTGTAATATTTTATCTCTCCTAGACTGCGCGATGTAATATATGGTGCGTGCGATTAATTAAAATGACAATTAATGCTTCACAGGCATTCATTGCGGCAGTGTCGCCGCGCGCGCGGTTCCGAATGCAAAAAATGTAAACAGTGGCGAACGTACGGCATAAAGAAACGTCGTATTAGTTACGGACGACTGCGTTTCGGTAATCTTCGGCACGAAAGTGTGTCGCGAATAGCACTCGCACGGCTGTCGGCGCCGCGCTGCGCCGCGCTACTTATTAATGACGCTTAAGTGCGAAGACATCGGTTTTTTTTTTCCGCTCAGGGTCGCCGTGGGCTGGCCGTGTGTCTCCGTGTTTGTATATATATGAAACGTATAGGCTAACGGGACGGGCGCAAGGTAGTGGAAATGAGTCATTCGTTACTGCGCCCGCCACGACCCATCGCGTATAACTGAGCAAATAAGTCGCAATCGTGCAGCCGCGCCGAGGACGACGGCTGGTTCACAACCGCGGTGAATCGATATATATATATATAGTATATAACGTAACGTTACACAAAACTTGCGTATTTTTTCTCTTTCTCTCCGCAATTTACTTCCGTCCCGAGCTCGCCGCGCGCGCGATGTGACTCTCGTCTGCAGTCTCGTCGAGTTTCCACGCGACGCATTTGAATTAAATTAGTGTTTTCTCGACACAGCCGCGTCGATCCAATCTGCACGTGTAAAACCCTTTGAAATGTTACCTCCGTAATAAAATTGACAACTTTTTTCCAGCTGAATGTTAAGCGTCGCCCGAGAGTTAAGAGTGTTCGATATCCGTAATTTATTTTTACAGGTGCTGCAGCAGGCAGCTTTTTAATTGCAGTGCTTGATGTATTCACGTTTCGCGGCTGCACTCGCGTTAATGTTGCACGCGAAACGCGTGCGGCGAGTTGTTTGTGCAAACGAATAGATAAAGGATACTTTCGTGCAGTGTCGCGTCGCGAGACGATATAACGGCGGACACCTGATACGTACGCGTTTAATCTCGACATACGAATAAATGACGAAATTGTTAAATTCCGCCGGTATCCGCGCAGCGCATCGATATCTCGCGTCCCATGCCCATCATCGCCTACGGTGCAGGCCGAACCACCGCGTCGCGTACGTACGCGAGTATATTGTAACGACGAAAATGTCGCTTAGCTAATCACGGGACGAGGCGCAGCAGGTGTGCGAAAGGTGTCGCGCCTTTGACTCCCGACTAATCGCGCCCGATGTGATGTTGCCGCAATGTCCCTCACCTCGAGAACAAACAGATGGGCCTCGAAAGTAATCATCATATTACAGCTGGTCACCTGGAACGCCGTCGGTATTCTTCTTCTTCACAGAGGCGTCAGCACGTTGCGCAGGAGAATCCTGGAGACCAGCAACGTTGTCGAGGTAAATTGTGAAAATGGATCGAAATGTATATATTATTCTTCATTAATACATATATATATATATATATGTAAATCATCATTATATATATGTCTAATATATAATATTTCTATTTTCAATTATTTTCATTACTATATATAATTATTATATAATTATTATTATTATCAAGGCCTGTTAATCATTATTGCGTGCATGGACGCTCTTACATATATACGCATATGCATGTATAGTTTGTGTTGTGTAACCGTAATTATCTCTACTTGTATAAAATTGCTATACATGTACATACATACACGTACACGCATCAATGTGCAGCTCTTTATTTTTTCCACAGGCAGCGGACCCGCCGTTCGGTTTAGAGTCTATCGTGTCGACCACGAGACGCGATGGGAACGAATACAATCTAGCCACCCGGTCACAATTATCGATCGACAAAAACGTGGAAATAATTCAGATAGATCCGGAAAGATCGTTCCCGCGCGACAATAGAAATCTCTCCGGATTAAGCGAGCGATTGAAAAACGCGTTCGAGATTGTTTCGGAGGAGCAACGATCCACGCTCTTCCCTACGGATTCTCTCGTAGTCCCGACGATTATTCAAGCAACACCTGCAAGCTCGCGGCTGAAGAATCATTTGACGGAAGATCGGCGCCATACCGGCGATAATCATTTCGAGGATAAAGACGTAACGAGCAAGATTTCAAGGATCGCTCGAGACAGGGAGCATAACCTCGCGGGTAAAGGAATCGGTTCAGGAAGTAGCCACGTGAAAGAGAACGTCACTTTGATCTCGGATCGTTCGGGATCCAGGACGACAGGATCGGCGGTTTCGACGGAGGAGGATGTCGATCTCGCGAGAAACTCCGGATTAAGCGAGCGACTGAAAACCGCGTTCGAGATTCTTTCGAAGCAACAACCCACGCTCTTCCCTGATGAGGATGGTGTTTTTCTCGCAGTTCCGACGACTATTCAAACAACACCTGCAAGCTCGCCGTCCATTCACGCCGACAAGAAGACTGATCCACAGGAGCAGCAGAACCAATTCGGCCGAGTATCTACCTGGACGGGCAAAAGTAACATGAGAGCTTCCCGCGCAAACGAGGATGGTGCGACAACGGCTGTCGCACTGGTGTCCATCGGTGCGATCATGCTGCTGGTGGGCCCGATCATCATCATATTACGGGTCTTGGACGAGAGGAGGCAAGCGAGGAAGCTGATCGCGTTGCCAACGAGCGCGCGGGAGGATCTGCCACCGACGTACGAGCAGGCCGTTCTCATGGACGAGGCGCCGAGATACTCGACGCTCACGTTGAACGACGATCACACACCGCCACCCTCGCCGACTCACTCTTCCACCTATGCCTATTCGAATGTCGCGACATAGCTAGTCGTGTCCTAACAGGAATTTTGGGCGGGTTTCTTTTTTTTTTTTTGTTGCTTTTTTATATAATAAAAATCGATTTATTACAAAACTGTGTTTTGAATAAATATAAGTAACCTTATTGTTAGAGAGAGAGAGAGAGAGTGCAATGCAAGTCTTAGTTTGCGGCCAACAAGCTGCAAACTTATTAAAAATTATTATTATATTATTAAAGAGACGGCCGACCAAATTTTTTCGTGACTGTCAAATGGGCCAGGGATAATTAAAGAACGGTGACATTACCAACCATTTTGATTGTACCGAGGATAACAAACATGATGGTTTTACTTTTTTATCGACAGTGAAAAGTTTACATGTGCAGTGCAGATTAATACATAATTTGTTATCCGTCGGTATAGCGAAAATGGTTGGTAATGTCACCGTTCTTCAATTACTTTCCCCCCCGGGTCAATTTGACAGTCATGAAAATTTGCCTTTGACCGATCGTCTCAATATTTCGTCGGTGCAGTTTGCAGCGAGATAAAAAGAGAAGTTTTCTCAGAAAATTTACAATTTGACGACCATGTAAATGACCAAATAAAACAATTTCTGCAATTGGCAATTTTGGTTTCAATCAATCATGCCGATTAAATTAATCCGAGAGTTCGGTCGAAGAGAGAAATTGTAGAGATGGTCCTTTTAAATATGAATATGCACGTGCGCAATGCGAAACGTGACTCGATGGAAATTGAATTGATAAGGCCAGCCAAGCCGCGCCGCCGCCACCGCCGCCGCCTCGCGGGATCGCGTCAAGCGACTAGCGGAGTGAAGTCTGCGGAATCAGTCAATCCATCCAACATGGTGCTGGAAAGTACGATGATATGGTGAGTCTTGCGTTTTACGAGAATTTGCGATTCTTATCGTCCCGTATCCCTCGTGATACCTTTCGTAAATTCGCGAGATCCGTCCGTCCCGCGGGCGACACGTTTTCGCGGTTGACTCAATTTTTTACGTTCGGCCGCGTTTGCAATTTAGAGGTTAGCGTAGTGACAATGACGTTGACACAATCTCAGACTCGTCCGAAATATTTGCTTTCGTTTGTAATCGTCATACTCGCTCCAACTAATGCGTCGTAATTCTCAATATTTTGCAGCGTCGATAATAGCGATTACATGAGAAATGGAGATTTCGTACCTACCCGGCTACAGGCGCAGCAAGACGCTGTCAACCTGGTGTGTCACTCCAAGACACGTTCGAATCCCGAGAACAACGTGGGCCTCATAACTCTCGCCAAGTATGCAGAATAATGATTTCACATTCGCGACTATCACGCACGTAAAAATGTATACATGGCGAGATAAATTGTAAATGTAAATCTTTCCAGCGTTGAGGTACTGGCTACACTCACGAGCGATGTCGGAAGAATATTGTCTAAACTCCATCAGGTTCAACCCAATGGAAAGTTGGCTCTCATCACAGGCATCAGAATTGCCCATGTAAATACATATGATTTTGCCTAGTTTATAGCCAAGTCTATCAAATGTGTGTGCTAAGGAATTGTGAAACTTGCAGTTAGCATTGAAACATCGTCAAGGCAAAAATCATAAAATGCGTATCGTCGCGTTTATCGGAAGTCCAATAGACATCGACGAGAAGGAATTGGTCAAGTTGGCGAAACGTCTGAAAAAGGAGAAGGTGAACGTCGATGTCATAAGTTTCGGCGAGGAGAGCATCAACAACGAAGTATTGACTGCCTTCGTTAACGCGTTGAACGGCAAGGATGGCACCGGAAGTCATCTCGTCACTGTTCCACCTGGTCCACATTTGTCAGATGCCCTGATCTCCTCGCCTATAATTCAAGGCGAAGACGGCATGGGTGCAGCTGGAATGAGTGGCGCCGCGTTCGAGTTCGGCGTCGATCCAAACGAAGATCCCGAGCTCGCGTTGGTCAGTATTTGTGTGTTGAAAATTTATTTTGTTCATCTGTCTCTCCCTGCGAGATTATGCGTAGTAATTTTTTTTACCTTTTATTGTTCAGGCTTTGCGCGTCTCTATGGAGGAGCAACGGCAACGTCAAGAAGACGAGGCCCGTCGCGCACAGGCGAACGAGACTGCCGCGAATAAGCAACCGGAGACTATAAAGGAAGCTCCCAACGAGGAGGCGATGCTGAAACGTGCTCTCGCCATGTCTCTTGAAGGAGCAGACGATTCGACTGCCGCTACTGATAATACTGCTCCATGCAGAGGCACTGTGCCGGATTTCACCAACATGACAGAAGAAGAACAAATCGCTTTCGCTATGCAAATGTCCATGCAAGATCAGCGTAAGTTCTTGGATTGGCAGATAACTTGATATATTAATAACTAGATATATAATACAATGCAGCATATAGTTTTCATATTGGTTTCATTTCAATTACAATTTTTTATGGATACAGGCTGTAACCGATTTTGTTTCTTTTTTTTTTTACTTATTTAATATTATTAGTCATAATCCGGATTCAATCAAACTCGGATTTTTACTTGATACAGGCGACTGTGATCTAGTATTTAATATCTCATAATCCATAATATTTCTGGATAAATGTATAATTTTTTTTACAAATACAAATTCATAACAATCGTTGTCTAATGGCTTGTTATCTGCATTACTGCTGTATAGAGGAACTGGAATCACAAAAGGAAGAAGCGATGGACGTGGAGGAGGATTATGCAGCCGTCATGTCCGATCCTGCTTTTTTGCAATCGGTCTTGGAAAATTTGCCAGGCGTGGATCCGCATTCTGAAGCAGTGCGCCAAGCCGTCGGATCATTACAACAAAACAAAGACAAAGAGAAAGAGAAGGAGAAAGATAAAGAGAAAAAATAAACGGCTCCTTAGTGCATTTCGTATTTACATTTGTGGCTAAATTTGACATTTTCCATTATTGTGTATGATATTGTAGCTATTCTATCTTGCTTATGAAATATACTATCAATTTACCGAAACTGCCCAACTTAGTTTTAACAGTGTCGCGCGTACACGATTTGAATAATCTTTATTAGCAGCACCAGTCTGGCAAACTGGTATCATCAGTAATTAACATGTTACGATAAAACTGATTGTATTACTTAAATACATGTTTGTAAAGATTCACTTTTTTGAGCGAATTGATTGTTCTTCGAGAGCGACGAGATGACAGAACTCCAATTAACTTAATCGACGATTGTTTTAACCGGCAAGATTATTTAAAATAAAATTTTTAACTGTATTTCTCTATAATTGTTTTAATTGTAATTTTTCGTCGATAAACTAATAATCAATCTGTATGTTAACAAAATGATTATACATGTATATAAAGATTATACATGTGTATAAAGTAAGTAATTGGATTCTAGTTCAAGCAAGATTTCTCTCAAATATTTATTCACTGCGTATATGTATGTACATGTATGTTATGTACACATGTCACATCTTTTAAAACACCTGTTGCTTCTTGTCATTCCCTCCGAGCTGATTTCTAACGTTATGTTATTCTAACGTGATCCGAATCTTAATTCTAATATTTCGTAACGTTCTGTGAAAGCGCGCGTTGTGGAGGCGTCTCTTATCAACGGAGTTGTTCTCGCCGTTCGAATTTCGATGCCATGAAAATTGGCAAATGGCGCTGGGTACGCCGGCGGCGGCGGCGGCGGCGTCCACACCATAGACATGTATATGTCTATGGTCCATACGATACGCTCTCTCGCGGCTCGCCGGGAAGAAATTCGAATGACAAAATGGCGCCGCGGAGGAAGAGCGTTCAAACGTTACGTGGGCCGTTGAACGCGTTGAACGACGTTTACTACAAGGAGAACAATTATTTGTGCTGTCTGAATGACTATCAGACGAGAGTTCGCAGACGGGAGAGCCTCAGGCACGCCAGAAGTCACGCGGTGAGTGACAGATTGCTCCTCCGAATCGACGGTCCGGTCGCGACTCGTCATCTCGCCTACCGGCGACACCGTGCGTCCGTTGACTCGTATTTAAAGACCACTTTTACGTTTCGCCTCGTGCTGCAAGTTTTTCCAACTCGCGCAGGCTCAAGGCAGCGACGATCTAAATTTCGATAAGACTCGCTGCTCGGAAAGACGTGAGACGAATAGGTTATGCTTGACGGAGGTTTACGAAACTCCGTATTTTTACGTTTGAAAAAATTACTGCCGTAACATTTATAGTTGCATAAAATATTATTCGTGTAAGTACATAATGCTCTCCCTTAAATAGAAAAAAATGTATTATAAATAGTAGCTGTATCTCTCACAATTCGATAATCGCATATTGCATCAACAGAGACCTATATACATTTTTTAGCTAAACTCGGTACCGTTCATTTTTTTCTCTTTTTTTCGTACGTAGAAAGAAAAAGAGGAAAGATTATTACAGATGATATAGGAAAATAATTGCCCGTGATTGCTGATAATCGACGGGAAACGTGACGTAGACACGAGGGGACACACGGTGTTTAATACATTTGTAACGCTTCTGTAAAGCGGCGGCTACTACTTTTGTAGATAATTACACGATAATTGCTTTAACGCGCGACGAAAACGTAAAAGTCAGCGGATGCTCTCGGCGTGGGCGATCCTCCCTCTCCGTACTCTCCCCGGCTCGCCCCGCTCTCCCATTCAATCTATTGTCGGTAGCGCCGGTGGTCCCCCCCTCCCCCCACCCCCTTCTCGCCCGGCCCAGCCACTCGGCAGATTTGCGGCGTGTGTCTGTGGTGCGTTGGTGCGTAGCACTGGTGCGTTTCTGTTGATGCTTACGCAGTGCCGAATGGTCGAGCGTCATTCAGTATTAGTCGGGTACACTCTCGGGGACGGTGCCTTTCGCTTCTTTTTCTCCCTCTTGATTCTTTTCCTTCGCGACGCTAGCTAGCGCACACCGTTTCTCCGCGCCTGCAGATTATTTTCGTTCAACTAATTATATATGTGCACAGCCTCTCGGTCGCCAGATCTCTAGTGCCGTGACCGGTTTTCGTTAAATCCCAGCGCTGACCGATTGCCGACCTTTTCCACGATAATCGTGAACCCCACATGGTGCGGAGGACGGACCTTTCATTGTTCGGAAAATCAACGACGAGCTGTGAAACCGCATAGGGGCAGGAGGAAGAGGAAGACGTCGCTTCTTTTTCCACTCAACGATGGCGAATCACGACGTTTGATTGGGCGTAGACAGCTATCACCGGAAACGGGAAAGAGTAAATTTGGTGATGAAGCGGGCAACAAGGCGAGCGAGTTGAGAGGCCAAGATCGGTTGCCTGTTGTTTGTCGCACCGCGCGGAGCGCAATGCCGTCACGGCTTATTTTGTAGCTAACGGAAAAACGTAGGACGCGACCGGATCTAAACGACGACAACGACGACGACGACGACGCCGTCGTACGTGATCGCTGTCGGTGCAACACTTTTCGCGTTCGTACTTGAAGAGAGGAAGAGGTCAAACTGTGACAGAAGACTCGATAATGTGACAATAATATTTTTCATTGTTTTTTCTCCAAAATTTAGAGGTCGAAGTTTACGGAGTGTACCGAACGGGTAGAACGGTACAAGTGGACGGGGAGCTTTGGAGGAAAGAAGAGCTCTCCACCTTGACTCAAATCTTTCGAAAGAAAAAGCAAAGGACAACCTTTTTTCTCCTTTTGCGCCTGTTCAAGACCTCGGGTCAAGGTATCGGGGAAATAAACCAGTGAGACCTGATCCGTGCAAAATTGTTGGCTGTCTGACGGCACTATACCGTGAAATTGTATCTCTCGGAGAGGCGGAAGCGTAATCCTGGATGATCCATGATCACCGATCTGCGACGATGCACCTTCAATATCATCGGTCTCGCTCGCAAGTTATCGGAATAGTTTCGGTGTATCATCTGGTCATTGGGTCGACGCGCAGTTCGAGCGACGAGTAGCAACCAAAGAATCGAAAGAAAAAAAAAGAAGAGGGGAAAAGATGAACTCCTGCTTTCCGCATTTGGCGTTATTGAATCCGCGGAATGCGAACAAATCGAAAGACCGGCTCAACGACGAGTGCAACGTCGTAAACGCCGAGGACACCCGGATGCGATCGAGGACTCCGACGTTATCGGGAAAGAATGACATCTTCCAAGACTTGGATATGTATTACGTTCGACAGATTGCACGAAATTCGAAGGTAGGCTCGCGATTATGTTCGATGACATTGAAGATACATTGTTGATCGTTTCATCGCAATCGGACGAGAGATATCGTGAAAATGCGGGCAAAACGCGCTCCTTTCGTTTTCGAGCGTTACCCATCGATTGTTTAATAGGCGATTAGTAAGAATGACTTTTGATTCTTTCGACCAAACTGTCAGCAACTATAAACTCGAGATAGAATTATTAATTTTTTTATTGACACATCGAAACCAAAATTAGATTAGAGAGAGCGAATTATATATACCGGCAGTTCTGCCGGTTGAATTGATCGCCGATTACGTTGATCGGTGCTTCTTAGTCAAAGTTACCCTTGAAGATTTAATTCACGTCAAATATATGCGCGAAGGGGAGTTGAGTTATTGTATGTGAGTGGCTGCCAACGTTTCCTCGCGTTCGTTGTTCGTATTTTTAGACGTCGCATGTGGACATCACGTCGGTCCTACATATACGTACGGATGGCGATGTTAAAACGGATTTGAAATCTCAATCGGAGTATCATCTACTACGGCGAATAGATGAGTTTCGGTGAAAATTTTTTAATTTATCTAATATTTAAATTACTTATTTTTGTTATCTCTCTCTCTCTCTCTCTCTCTCTCTCTGTATATCGTTATCTCTTACCATTTTATTTAGATACAGCGAGCCCCAATAATGCCCATTGATTTTACGACTCTCGAGCATATCGGACATCAAGTTGTTGCGAGAGATTCACGCGTGAAAGGAAGATGAACGCGCGTCGCGTGCGGTGACCATTACGTACAGGCACAACTGCACAGCGAGGTATTGGATTTCTGGCGACTATTTTCGGCAGACGAGCCGTCGGGAAAGTGCCGGCGACGCCGGGAGAAAGCGATATTGAGGGGGAAACACGTAGGGACATGAGGGACAACGACGACGCGCGATGCGGCCGTTATAGGGAAGCCGAAATGAGATTACGTACATACAAACAAGAACGAGGGGAATATCTGATGAGGCTGACCGATGCTTTGTTTAACGCCGACAACGCGTAAGGTGTATTCGCGCGCGTCCTAGTGCGCCCTGGAGGAAGATCCTCGCGGGGAAAAAGTCGTGAGAGATAATATACGCACGCGCGAGATGAGTCGCGCGAATTGTGTTACATTGTCGTATTTACGTGAACTCGCTTGTCGCACGGCGCGCTTCAACGAGTTTCATCAAGACTCGTTACAGCATTGGCGACAGAGGTCAGGGATTAAATGTGGCCGCGGCTGTCCTTGCGCCGTTGCAAAATTCCCCTGTTCGAGACCGACGACGGAATATACCTATATACGTGGATATATTCCTGATAGACACCGCGTCGTGGGCCATATCGAGCGTATAAAGGATGTGTCACGGGTAACGTTAGCGGAATACGAAATCGCTCGATGTGCGCTATGAATCATCTCTCCATTATTGATTTTACTGATGCGTGCGTTATTTTCGGATTATACGTCTCATTCGGGCATCGCGGAAAATTAACGGACGTGCGCTAACGCGACGAGAGAGCGAGAGAGAGAGAGAGAGAGAGAGAGAGAGAGAGAGAGAGAGAGAGAGGTAAATTTAACTTTTAATGTATCTTACACAATATACACGATACATCAAATATGTCTTGTGTAAGAGAGATATCTATTAATGCATAACAGGGTATTTATATTTTTAATATATATAAGAGAGAAAAGAAATTGAAAGAAATTAATTTTCCGATGGACGCACGATTCTTCCGAACGAGTTTCATAGGGAAAAATGCAATCTCGTGCAAGTCGGCTATAAAACGGTAGCCGCGGATCGATATCCCATGATGTTAGCGTTGCTTTCCCGAGGGTAGGAAGGAGGAGCACACAAGCGAGCCAATTTGTCGAGGTGAACGTCACCCCCTCGTGCATTCGCCCACTTCCCCGAAGAGTCGTTATTTCAGTCCGTTTCTGCGTTCTGCTACCAGCGTCGCGAGAGCCGCGCCGATTTATTTACGCTTTCGCCAAGTTTGTTTCTTGCCTCGAAGTGGAATTTCCATTCACCTGGTCCGTGTCGTGATCCGCGATCGCCTACGTAAACGCGACAAAAACTGCGCTTTTTACATGTCGAAATCTCAAAAACGGACGAGTGAGAAAACCTGCACGTTCTCCCAGGTTACTGTTTATATACTTTATATATAACTGTACATACGTATATTTGTATACTTATAGAGCGTACATCTTGAAAACTCTATTATACGATTCCGGGATACACATACTATCGGGAATCGCGGAATTTTCCAACTGTACGCTTTAGCAAGTCTACGGATATCTCAGGAGGACCGGTAAAATGAGTAAAACGATTCGTTCGCAAAATATGTAAGACATTTCGTTAGGTATGTAACCCGATGCCGTGAACGCGTGATGAGGCCACGTGCTGGCCAGCCAGTCGTTTTATCGCTGACACTTTGATTTTTCTCCGATCCTAACTATTGGTTGTTTCTTCCTCTTTTTTCTTTTTCTTTTTTTTGTTTACGCCTGTATATTCAACACCTGTACGGATACCGGTGCGAGATTACGCTTTTTTACAACCGTATGCGAATATGCAAGTGGAACAGCTCCGTTTAAAATTCGACGATTGTTCGACCGAGATTTTTCGCGACCGGACCGACGATGCACGAATTGATTGCTAAAACGCTATGAATTATATGCGTGTTGCAGGAACATGACCTCGAGCAAAAGATCGAGGTGGAAATCAAGATGAGAGAAGGCTCGGCGAGACTCCTAGCGGCCGCGAAGCATCGCGCCCAGAGCCTGGAAGCCGCCAAGGCGTTGCTCACGTCCAACGAGAGGATGTCGGTCTACATGGCGGAATTGCAAAGTCGCCGCCGCGAATCTTCTAAGCAATCATGGTTCGTTCGTGCGCTTGTTTTGTTGTAAAATTAACGAGAGGAAATATCTATAAAGTATTATCGCCTGTTTGTGATAATTTAGCAATAATTGCGATAACTTGTGTTTTCAGCATTTCTGGAAGTACGAGCAAGTTATCGATCTCGGATCTTAGAATACCGCTGATGTGGAGAGACTCCGACCACTTCAAGAATCGCGGTGATCATCGTCGGTTCGCTGTATTTTGTTTAGCACGATTGGGAACAGAGATTCACGACACTTCCTTATTGTGTCCCATCGATAGAGCTCAAACGGACCTCAGCTTTCCCGATGTTTTGATATTGTAAGTTCCGACAATTAATATATTATCCTTATACTAAAATCTAGTTTGAAGTAAAAGCACATTCAAGTTATTCGTGCTACTCAAAGAACGTGTATAATAATTTTATAATTGTAAATTTTTGTTTCTAATTTCAGTAATAATGTGCCAGCCGAGTTCGAATTAGTGTTAGAAATCTATAGTCATGTTTTGCAAGAGGACTTAAGTATCGCCAGCACGCCGAGACGAATAAAAAAGACGATTCACTCGTCGATTTCGAAAACTGTCGGCAAGAAGCTCGCCGCTTCGCTTCGTGACGAATTCGGTTCCGCGAAATCGTGAGTCCCTTTCATAAATATGTTAATTAATCGATTAATCTACAAGTGTTTGCAACTATATTTTGTACTTGATTTTCAGTGGACCACACTTCGATTTAGTAGCTCGCGCGAAACTGACCTTAGACGACACGGATGATAACACTCACACGCACGATCTCGTTATTAATAGCGTCGGTGAGTTGTGCGAGAAATGAATTCGGCGAACTTCTCGAAATACTAATATTGGTATTTTTTTTCCAGAGAACAAGTATCACTCCCTACCACTTTTCGGTCACTTTTGCTGTCGATTGGCCGTACAGCCGGAATGCATCAATAAGGAGATGTGCATTGGCAACGTGAAGGTCGACGGTCAGGATTATTGGGGACGTCTGCAAGGATTTTGTATAAAAATATGGGAATCGAAGAAGCATGCGGAAGAAGGTCAAAATCCGGAACACACGATAATTGTTAATAAAGTTAGTTGACACCTTCATACAGATTCCTTAATCGTTTTATTGTTTCATTTAAATAATTTTTTCTAATTACTTGCAGAGAACAATTATTCATCCGTCCAAAACATCCGGCAAGGAACTTCTGATAAATAATTCCGGTAACAGTGTGGACAAACTGTTATCGATTAAATTTGAATCAAAGGAGGAAGCTCAAAAATGGTCGAAGCTCTTATTGGTGCATGTCAACGATCATTCGAGGTGGAAACATGCCGCGGAAGTTATTCAGAGGGTGTCTAGCATTGAAAGCACGAGAAATTCCTTTATCAATAAGAGACAAGGTTCCTTATACGACGAGACACCTCTAATAGGTAATAAATGCACAAGTCATTATGTAGCTCTAAAGTTGTAAAATTCGATAACATAAAAAGTCTTTTGCTTTAAAATCTGCCAAAGTAAATTGCTAATTAATACATCTTCTCATTGCAGAATCAATTCCGGATTATACATCCGCAAGGCCAACTGTACAAACGATCTTCGATCTCACACCTAGTACTAGTCTAAGCAGTTGTAGTTCCACGAATAGCCTAACAAGTCTACGTTCACGTTCACTGAGTATCAGCGGTGTATTTAAACAAGGTGCCATCTCTTTAAAACCTCACTTAACTACCGCTAATAAAAAGGTATAACGATTAATAATTATAATTCTTTTCAAAGAATTATCAATGCCGTGTTAGTGTAACGCGAAGATAAACGTGCGAGAATTTGTCAATTTTAACCTGAGATTGATGTATACACTAAATATTTTATTAATTGTAATTGAGATAGAGAAGAAAGATTGATTGAATATTTTTATATTCAATCAGTCTTTTCTGTCTCTCAATTATGAATATATTTCTCGGTTTAAGAAAGGGTTAATACACTGTATTAACCAAAGAAACGTATTGCGGAGATTTTAATTTGGTTGGAAATTGTAATATGTGTATCGATTGATATATAAATTCGAGATATATACGAAAAACTTTTTCGTTAGAGATATGCAGTACAAAGGATATTGATTTCTTATTTTTTTCTTTTCTACTTTTATAATGTGAAAGCCTTATTATTATATTGCTAAAAGTACAACGATAGCTCTTACTATATAATGCGTTAATGAGTTTAGAAAATATATAGGAGCAATGCAATATTTGGTACGGCTGTAAGAAAATACGCATATATTTATATATATGGTATATATATTTAATGTAACAACAATAATAACAATAATATATGACTATGCAGATATAGTTAATTATACTCAAACTCAATTTACTTTTCCAAAAATCCTTTAATTCCTGTACATGCGATTTAGAAAAATTTTAATGAAATTTATTGAGATATTACTTTTCCTTTATGCGTTATATCGATGTGATAAAATTAAGGATACGTTTAATGAAAATACTTGTTTACGAGTTGGTAATAATTGATAATAACTGGTAATTAGATATATTTTTGCAAGTAAAAATTAATTTACATGTACCTTACATGGAAAAGGAAGTATTCATTCATACGGGGTACCTCGTACTCGACATGACAAGCACAAGGATCTCATATACTACAGATTTTATGGCACACGTGAATCAATGTACCATCAATCTCGATTCGACTTGGGTGACAGCAAGATAAGTCCCGCAACCATGCAAACGATGGTAAACGCCTGAGCACCAACACGCGCACGCATCATGTACTGTTGCATTGCCGTTTTTCCCTTGTAAAAGCTGATGAGCCCAACAGTCAGGGCTGCTGTAGTCGCCAACGTTCCTAGAAACACAAATATGCGGGAAGTAGAGTCGCATGTGATAGATGACTTGGATCAAAGTCGACTTAAAAGTTAATTGTAAAACGCGGCTCTTTGTGCAGAGATGATTCTCTTATTCTTTGTTCCTCTTTCGCGTTCCCGGCAGCTTGTCGCAGATCGGAAAGATGTGGGGTTCGATAAATTCTATCTCGACTCGCGGAACATAGGTTAGGTTTACCTAACGGTACAAGCGGATTCTCTTGTGTTTTACGTTTAGCCTTTTGGAATATCGTCTCGGTAATATAACTGCTGTCCAAATCTTCTCGTACCTTCACCCAGTCCAGGTCGTCCAATTCACCTGGTTTTATGCCTGCCATAATTGTACCGCTAAAAAGAATAAAAGATACACAAGGTCTCACGGCCACTCACGGCACAGCGTTCACGCCGCGCCGTCAGAGAGAAGCGTGAGAGCGGCCACGCCGACCTTTTGCGTGGGACCGGCGATCTCCCCCGTATACTAGCGCTCCACGTCCACGTTTTCAAAAAAGGGACTACGTCTAGCCAAGTGGCGACGGGAGAGAATAGGCGCAATGTGATCTGATAGTAGGGGCTCGACGAAGCTTCGAAAAGCAATACGCTGGATTATTACTAATACACTGTAATCCTTGTATTCTTTAATGCTAGTCTCATACTACTTTGAAAAGAATTAAACGATAAAATAATTTAAAATATTGTTGCATGGATGATAACGAAAAGGAGGAACATCCAAATCTTCCGCCGACGGGAGACAGTATAGGCGCGATAATTTTCCGAGAAATGCCTTTATATACAGTAGCAATTTCACGTGTCCTTTAATGCAAAGCATATAGATACGCTTTCTCGAGAAAAATTCTTATTAAGAAGAAACTTATTAATAAAACATTCTAGAACATTATTGTTACATAATAACAAATAATTTTCAGTGTTTATTATGTTTTATCGTAAGAAATAAGTTTGCCGCGCCTTATACGTAAATTACTTATTTATCATAATAAATTTGGAGTAATTTTTATGTTACATTATATAATTAAATAATAGTTTAAATTTAATTACGCATCTGTGGAGATGCACAAAGGATCGTAAATATTGTTAAAAGTACATATAGAGATGAGAGGTTAAGCAAAAGCCGGCTTTCGCAGCGTCAGAAACTTACGTTTAAATCGAATAAAGTATCAGGAGCGCACGTTAACAAGTAGGTGGCAGAGGTATTCGGGGCGGAGGCCGCCAGCGCGCCATGGAGGAGGAGCCTACTGCCCCCACCAACGCATATATGCTGCTTTTGCGCTGAGAGGCGGGGCTTACGCGCCGTATGAGAGTGGGAGATTCCGTGCCTCTTCGTTCAACAGCTTTCCGCCTTACCGACAAGCTGCTGTCGATACGCGCGCTGGTTAGGATTCCGTGCCACCTCTTTGCTCAACATGTTTTTCGCGTATCGGCGGGAGTTTTTCAGCCTTTATATCGAGGCGCGCGGGCTAGGATTAGTAGGATTCCGTGTCACCTCTTCGCTCAACGTGTTCTCCGTGTATCGGCGGGAGTTTTCGAGCTTCTGACGAGGCCTGCTATCCAGGATTCCGTGCCTCTTCGCTCAGCAGTTTTTCGTTTTATCGACAAGCTGTCGATACGCATGCTGGCTAGGATTCCGTGCCACCTCTTTGCTCAACATGTTTTTCGCGTATCAGCGGGAGTTTTCGAGCTTCTGATAAGGCGCGCTGGCTAGGCACGTGGACGTGGTTCATGTCCGTGCTAATCGTGTATTATATATGCCACATTCTTCACCTACAATTTGTAGATGTAGTACAGACATGAATTGGAATGTCATTTCATCAGCAACATCGCAAAATAAATGTGATCTATTTATTCACAATTTGTGCACGTAGCACAATTAGCATGGACCACGTCTTCACGTTCTCGTGCTATGATTTGATCAACAATATGTTATAAGATAGACGTACGTGGTACGTAGTTTCTTATTTGAAAACGTGGACGTAGAGCGCTGTCCGGGGGAGATCGCCGGTCCCACCCAAAAAGCCGGCGTGGCCGCTCTCACGCTTCTCTCTGACGCCGTTCACGGCACACCGAGGCTCATGTCAGATCATGACATGTCAGATGATCACCGACCACGTGTGAGAGAGGTTCTCGCAAATTTCCGCGTCACGGACAGCTGATAATGATAACGTTAAATTGATAACGTATTGAAAGATGCATTTATTGGAATTGGACTTGGATGATGATCAGAAAGCATAATTTCTCCCTCCTCGCCGATCTCTTCCGTCGAGATCGATAGCGTCATTCGGTGTCCCGTGCGTGCTTTATACGGAACACGCGTCAGACTCTCTCAATAACTCTCAAGAGAGAAAGAGTGACGCTCCGAATTGATGTCGCAATTGTTGCAAGTGCGTGTGTAGTAATAGGTGTTCGCGCGATTGCTCGAGGAGTTTCACTCCATTTTCCGAACCGTTCGATGTGCGGACTAGTCAATCAAAAAATGAACACGCAAGAGATAGTGGAGGAATTGACGGAGATTTGCATTCAGATGCGCAACCACTTGGACGATTCGACGGAACGGAGGGAAAAAGAAATGTTGATTCTGAAGCACATCAAGCGGTTTGAGAACGGCGGAACGGAGGCTCACGATTTCCCGAAAGGTACCGATTGTCTAGGTTATATAACACGAGTCCCCTCCCCCCGCATTATTCTTTCTTACGTTCCACTTTGCAAATAGTCAATTAGAAATAACTGGATAATTATCTAGTGCAGAAAAACTGTTTTTTAACAAAAATGTTACTATTGTAATTAATTTTCATTTACTACTTTGCGAATAGCTAATTAGAAATAAATGGATAATTATTGTTGTAATTTTCAGTTCATATATTTCATATATTATATGTTACACAGGCTTGGAATGGTTCAACGTGTCGGAGGGATTGTCGTTGGCGCAGCATCTAAAAGGAAAAATCGTGCTCTTGGACTTTTTTACATATTGCTGCATCAATTGCATGCATGTTTTGGCTGAACTGGAAGTGATTGAGAAAAAAATCTCTATAGAGGATGGTCTTGTAGTAGTGAGTACAACAGTCTATCGCAAGAATTCTAATTTCCAGAAAATTAGAGATATACATAGATAATATAATATCTAATGACTAATAACTTTTCTGTTCAGATTGGAGTGCATAGCGCAAAATTTACAAACGAGCGCAGTTCAAAGAACGTCTTATCTGCTGTGCAGAGATATAATATTATGCATCCTGTAATAAATGACGTAACATTAAGAATGTGGCACGATATGGGAATAACTTGTTGGCCTAGCCTGATAATGTTAGGTACGAAACAATATACGAGCTCTTGGCTTTTTTTCTCTAACAATTATACAGTTTATATTTGTGTGATTTATGAAAATTTTCTCCATCGCAACTCCATTTAAATTTATTTCAGGACCTAGCGGTCAACCGCTGGCTGTTTTTGTAGGCGAAAATCACAAAGATGAGATACTATTATATACAAAAGTAGCAATAGCACATTTCAAATCTTTAAATCAAATATCGAGTCACGGTCTTCCGCTGAAGCCAGCGCATCATCTTTTACCGTCTTCTAAAGAGGGTCTGTTATTTCCTGGCAAACTAACAGTCCTTCAGATGGAACAAGGAACGAAGCTAGTCATATCTGATAGCGGAAACAATAGAATTGTAATTACAAACGAGCACGGGAGAGTGGAGCACGTTATAGGTGGATGCAACCAGGGTTTTAAAGATGGCAATTTCGAAAATGCTAAATTCAATTCGCCTCAAGGTGTCTGTGTGCTCAATAATATAATCTACGTTGCGGATAATAATAATCATGCAATTCGGAAAGTAAGAAGAAAAGTGTCACTTTTATACTTTTTTATACACAACATTGATTCGCTCAATATCTATTCTCAATGTTAATCGCATTTTTAGATAGACTTGACCAAGAAACTCGTATCCACCATAGCCGGTACTGGTTCACAAGGTGGGGATCGAAACGGTGGAGGACACGGCACCGATCAAGCTTTATCGTCTCCTTGGGATGTGGCAATTTACCATCATGAATATAATGGCACCGTGACGCCAGTCTTGTTAATCGCCATAGCGGGCACCCATCAAATCTGGACACTGTTTTTGGAAGATACCGTTTGGTGGAAGAAAAAGTGAGACATTATTTGCATGATTAATATATCATCTAATTTACGTTACGCATTTTTAAATGTGATTTTTGAACATTTAATTGAACAATTTCGGTTTTTTTATACTTGACATAGATAAAAAAGAAATACATGTAAATATTTGTATTTTAGAAAATACACGGCTGGCACGTGCGCTGCTATCGTTGGAAGTGGACGGGAGGAAAATCGCAACAACAATTATCCTCATGCCGCTGGACTAGCACAACCCTCTGGCATCGCGGTAGTTCAGGAATGTAAAGTTGCGTTTTTGGCGGACAGCGAAAGCAGTACTATCAGACGGTTGCATTTAGATAGCGGTCAAGTGTCCGCTGTTTGTGGAGGGGATAAGAATCCAGCGGTACGTTCAATATTTCTTTTACTTTTCATTTATTTTCTCACTTTAGATTTGTGTGTATGAATAAGATAACTTTAGTCAGTTTGTTCGATATGTGAACAAGCATCTGTTTTCGTTTAACTGAATATAACAGCGGTAAATCAAGATGATAATGTTTATCTTACCAGAATTTTTAATTTATTTTGTATTGCAGAACTTGCATTCGTTTGGAGATGTAGACGGTAAAGAACATTCGGCTAAACTTCAACATCCATTGGGTGTAACATGGAATCATTCGGATAAACGAATTTATGTGGCCGATACTTATAATCATAAAATTAAAAGCGTAGATATTGCGACGGGGCATTGCAAGACATTGTTTGGTGATGGAAAACCTGATCATACATTTAACGTAAGTTTTATATTTTTTTAAAAAGTAGTAATTTAAAAAGTGCTTTGAAAAATTATCAAAATAATTTTTCATCAGTTCAATGAACCGAGTGGCCTTGCTGTCAATCCAGACGGTAACATTCTTTACGTAGCAGATACCAACAATCACGTTCTTAAAATTATCGATTTAAAAAACGGAAAGATTTCAACTGTAAGTATATTTCTAACTTTCTAAAGAGGATCGCTTTCTCAAAATATAATTTTGTTCCATTAATTGTAAAGAGCAGCAACGTAAACCTTCTTAATTTTATTTTTCAGATGGCTATCGTGTCCAGACGCGATTCAAATAGAAATACCGATAACGTGTTCGCTTTCGATACGGCAGTAAATGCACATGGTGGAGAACTGAATGTCTCATTTAATATCGTATTTGCAAACGATTTGAAATTAAATGCAGACGCACCGCAAGAGTGGCAGGTGTCTTTACCTGCAAATACGTGGACGGCGAAATCTTTGACGGGTAGACTTTCGTCTCCCGTATCGGTGAAACTTCCCGAAGAAGAAGCGGGCAATCAATTGCGCGTCACATTAAATATAATGGCTTGCACAGCGGACACGTGTGTACCACTAAAGCTGTCTGTATTGTTCAATGTACAACGAAGAGCAGATGCGCCAACAGTTGTCAATGAAGAGAAAGAACTCGTTATTGGTTAGGAAATGCGTTTTACGCTTTCAACATACATATGTCGAAAAGTGTAAACGCATACGTTGCGTAATGATTTTTAAGATATTGAATTTTGGATAGATTTAATATATATATATATGTTTACAATTTTATAACAAATAATAGTTATATTCCTATATATATTCTATACAATTTTACAAACTTTGTATATTACTTATTGTATTAATTTTTAATTGCTTCCATCTTTAATATTCATTTTTTTTCTATGATTTTTTGTTCGTTCGTTTAAACACAATTGTGTTTTATCCATCATGTCAGCGGGCAAGTGTCGGGTAAATTTTGTCAGTCTTAAACAATGTAATTAGGATAAGTAGCATCAATTATGACATCCCATTCCATTTCGTTGTATAAATAATATTGTATTATATTATATGATTTTATTTTAAACGATATTTTAAATTATTCGTCACCTTTTCCACCAATGTTCCGTTTCCTCATCTTCTGTGACATGCGGTAACGTTGCAAAATCCGCCGCTCCCGATTGCCAATATTCGCGCAACCATTCCTGATGACCGGTCGGCTCTGACCAGCCTTTTCGACAATTTTTTTTTATCCATGCACTTTCTATCGCCATTGGAATCTTGAGTATCTGTGTAATTTTTATTAAATCTAAATTTAATTTTATTCTTCATAAAGAAAATAAATGATACATATTGTTGCGTTGATATAATTGCAGATGGAAGTGACACAAGTAAAAAATTATTTTTTTTTGTAGAAATAATGAATGCTAATCGAAACTCTAAAATTTTCCTTTCGTTATCGTAAAAATTTTACTTTTCTATCAACGCGGCGATATGTATATTGTTTATATCTCATTATTATCACTTCCGAGAGGTATTTTTACTTTTTTACAATTACGATACGACGTTACATAATTGCTATCTGGATCAAATATCCCAGCACCGGTATCGTAGCAAAAAGGAGGAATAATTTTAGTGGGCTGATCATTAGTTTTCAGTACCTCCCCGGCTGGCCTCAGTCCATTTACTATGCAATTATAAAATCTGAAATATTTTTACAATTTATAAATATACGCGAGATAAATTCTCGTTTAGGCGTTATTTAAGAATCGGCTAACCGCCTATCGGGAAATATGCAATAATCCCAATCATTTTTTCGATACGATAAGCCATCCGCGAACGTATAGCGCCCTTGCACCATTTTTCCGCGACTCCAAATACCATCCATTCTTTGTCCACGTGGCCAGTACATACTTCCGCGCCCATGAAACATACCGTCCCGGAATTCCCCCTCTAATATAACATCTGACAAACAAAATAAATATTAGCGCTAATTATAACGTCCCGAGAGAATTCTAAAGATCCTATTTCTCGTATTGTACTTGAGAAATGTAAGATTTTGAAAATAGAAATTAGACTAACTGTAAGGCGTGACATATCTGCCGATGCCTGTCATATTAATCGTATTCCACGTTCCCTCGTATTTGCTTCCGGTGACAAATCGGGTCTCCCGTAACATTTCTATTTCGTCTGCCTTTTCGTCATCGTTTTCTATCGTCATGTCAGACATGATGCGTCACGCTCCTATATCTGCAGTTAAAATCTACTTCAATTCCGTTTAATCGCCGATCAAGTTAATCGAAGCCGGAGTTGCCCCCGGGGTAACTATAAAGATCAAGCTCCGATGAATTTAATCCGGTGATTAACTTATCAAGTAATACCTGTTATTTTGTTATAAATGGTACACAGGTGGATAGAATTATTAATTTTTTATTGCCTGACGTATGGAAAGAGGATTAAATTAGAGGCAAGGAATAACATATAGGTATATGTAGTTGAAAATTTCCTTTCAAGCGTTCCGTGCTATTAATTCCACCGCGGTTGAATTAATCGCCGATTAAGTTAATCGGAATTTGCTCTAAGCGCTGAAGAAAGGTACTCGATCTCCTCTCCTTTTGTCGTTCATCGCGCCACTTTATTATCATCGGCCTACGAGGATTCGCACGGCCAAGGGGCCGAGACGAATGTGGGGAACACGAGAGAGCGAGCGCGCGCCCGAATGTCTCGGCTTCTCCTCCCCGAAGCGAAGCGAACTGGGACTCGGTTTATCCTTACAGGATGGCCTCGTTGCCTGGTATTCCAGATGATCTCGGTCGGCTCGCAGTCGCCGCGCTCGGGGACATGCACGCGAACGGCGTGCAAACGTCGGCCGCCGGGGCGGCATGCGGGTTCACGCGTGTGTCGAATTCGCGAATGGCGATAGACACCTGACACCCCCTCGTTCGCGCGTTCTTTCTTTTTTCCTTCTCCTTCCTCTTTATATTCCGCGCGCGTAACTAAATCAGATTTTGGAGGCGACGCGGTCGGGCCGCCGCGCCGGTCGTGTACGTATTCGTAACACGACCGGACACAAAGGAGGCGAGGAAAGGACCGTTATGTCTCTCGCGTATATTTCTATCTACGAGAAAGAGAGAGACCTCGGTGTCTCTATATACCGTACCGCGCATATACTACTGTTATGTGTCGAAAAGTGGTACATTCCGGTATATACACATTGAGAAATATTTCTCAAGTTTTCACGCGCTCGACGCCGCGCCGCGCCGCGCCGGCGGCCGGTCGGTCGGGGTATCGCGTGAGACGCGCGTCGCTTTGCACGGCGAACCTCAATCACCTGCAGATCACCGTCCCCATCCACATTCAGGATTCGTCCTCTCGACATTCGCAGCCTCCCGAGTGAAACGCGGCCGAGGTGATACCGTGCAACATCGCGACCGAAGAGCAGCGGCAATCCAATAGATAGAACTTAGGGTGCGCGCGTTCCATTTAACGTTCGCAATGCTCTTGGAATTATTTCATCCTTATTGTTTATCAAATATATTAAACAAGGACAAGTAATGCTCGCGAGCGTTGCGAGCGTTAAATGGAACGCAGCTTTAGAGCACTCGTGAGAAAGGATGTAGCGCCAAGTATCGGCCCGCGATGTCCTTCCGATTCGCGTCGAATATAAAACGGGGGGTACGATCGCACGTAAGCATATTTATAAGATTCCTGATCCGTGTCGTCTAGTTACGCGTCGATTAACATTTCTATTATGACGCCCCCCGATTATAATTCGCCGCGTTCGGCGAAGACGACGGCGTTACGCCAGCGATCTCAGGACGATGCTCCCTTCGGAGCAACGATTCCAGGCTACGTAATCTGGAATGTCGTGTTAGCTCAGCCGAGCGTGACACCTCTGCCATACCGCCGGGGAATCTCTCACGCACCTGAGAATTTCTCGTAGGTGCACCGGCGAACTTGCGTTTCTTTTTTTCTCTCTCCTCTCTCTCTCTCTTCTTTTTCTACCCGATCGTTATCCTGTTTGCGTATATGCGCCGAAGGGAGATACACGCACGTTCCCCGATGTCGGAATTGCAGCGAGAAAGAGAATCAAACGTCGCTGGAAAAAAAATCACCTCTCTCTCTCTCTCTCTCTCTCTCTCTCTCTCTCTCTCGCTTATAGAGAACAGAAATGAAATTTCAGAACAAGCTCGAGATATCGAATCGGATACCACCTGCGCATTTGATCGTAATCATCATCGTGCTCCGGGGTCGACGTGAGATCGGCGGTGTCGGAGGAAATAGGTCGGGTTTTACGGAGTAAGTTATCGGCGCTCGTTCTCGCGTTCCCCTTTCCCGTGTCGCTCCTCCCGGGCTCCCCCTCCCCTTCCCTCCCCCTCTCCCACCCTCCGTTCGACGTCAAATTTGTCGATAGGTAAACCGTTGGATAAACCTTAATCCGGCGCGGCCTGGCGCGGTACCGTTGTCTTGGTAAACAGTGGGTTACGGATGGACAGTCGTGCAAGTGGGACGGCTGTTTATTAACCCGCGCGTGTTCACAGAAAACTTCAGGCAGACGTAGTTGCGTGAAGAAGCGAGAAAACGGGTTTCTCGTGAGCCCGTCTGTTTCCTCCGACGACGACAGCGCGATAGCTCTGTCAAACCTAAATCTATCGTTTTTCACGGTTTCTTAATTCTCGCACGACTGCGGCTCGTCTGGCCTGGCCTGGGCGAACGGAAGTCTCCCAGGAAAAAAAATTGATCGTCGAGCACCGTATAACGAGCTCTCCCCGTTCGCTCGGCGAAGATGGGGGACTCGGAGGGGGACATGCCCGAAATTTATTCCGGCGAGTCGCTACACTGGACGGCGATTGATTCGTTTATGAATGAGTCGCGTCAAGGAATGAATTGCGCGCGGCTCGATTGTGAAAGATCGCGCTCGCGCGCTTCATCCGACTCGATTCACTTGAACGGGACGTCGAGATAAATCAGCGTTGGCTGGGAATCTTATCTCCAGGAAAGATTTTCCCCGAAAATCCTACATTTTCGCGCGACGCTTCTCGATCCCCGCGCGGTTGGTTCTTTCACAATTTCATACATCACGTACGCGACTCATTCGGTCGATGTACCGTTAATCGCGGCGTGAATCGCCAGCCTGGCTTACGCGCGTACGTTTGTCGTTTGAGAAAAATTATTCGCGGACCCCCTCTCGCCCCGCTGACGCGATCCTCCGAGCGCGATTCGTATAAGCGGCGAATGTTGACTGTTGAATGACGAAATTTAATTCGCGGGGGGGACGAGATCCGATCCCGCGATAAAATTCTAACATTGTTCTAATTGGCCATTGTACTCTCGGAGTTGCAGGCGATCTGCGCTCGATAGAAAGAATGCGCGCGTACGTGCACGCGCGGTCACCTGTTTCCGCGTAATCCGCTCCGTCCATCCGACGGCGACGACGTCTCTCTCGTGAGAGTGGCGAGAGAGGCCGAGTCCTTTCTCTGTCTTACCCTCCAGGAGCGCCTGTCTCCCCCTCCTCCTTATCTCTCTTCTGCCTCTTGTTTCGCACTGCGCTCGTACCAGCGAAGGATCCTACCTTGCAGTACGTGTTTATCCAGGGTACAAGACGGCAGAAGAAGAGCGGAGCGGACGAGTGGCGTAGGAAGAGGCCCGGAGTTGTGTCAAGCGCGAGCGCGGTGCGGAGCGGATATACTTACGAGAGCTAGGGAGCCGGAGTGCGCGAGAAAGGGCACCTGCGGAAAAGAAAAGGGAGGAGTTTCGCGGAACGCGCTCCGTAATCATCGCCGAGGTCGCTACACCGGCGAGTCTGACAGCAAGGTCGACCGCAAAATAGTCTCAACTGCTAAACGTCCTTGATCCCTTAACGAAGAAGGGAAGAAGGGAACAAAGGGAGAGGGAAAGAGAGAGAGAGAGAAAGAGAGGAGGCAGACGCGAAGGAGCAGAAAAGGGGAAAAAGGGACTGACTAGAGCGTCTCGCGCGAGGGAATCGAGCACCGAGGGATCGCCAGATACTCTCGCCGAACGTCCGACGTTTTTTTTTTTCTTTTTATCGCGAGTTCGCTGACTGTCGGCGTCGTGGTGGTGCCGAGCAGCTAATCATCGAGTTATTGCACCGGAGTTATTGACGGGGATCGCGTCTCCTCTCGACGGGATTAAATGACATTTCCAGGGAGTCTACCTTCGCTTGCAAAGTGTGAGTGTGGAATTTACGGAATCGCGCGCAACCACCTGTCGACTTTTACGATTATATTTCAGATAATTCGCGAATGTATGCAAAAGGGAAGGAAAGAGAAAAAAATTAGACACACCGGGCTTAATATTCGTGATTATCGTCATTGAGATACAGAGATCTTCAAAGAACTAATCGCGCGATCAGCCCCAAGATTTAAGAACGATACGAGGCATTGGTGGTAACTGGGCAACGTAAAACCGGTTACCGATATGTAACAACAACCAGCAAAAAATTGAAAGGTTCGGTGACCTATCTCTCTTTCCTTCCCTTCTGCGTTTCTTTTTCTTCTCACGTGCTATCGCTATATGTCACGTTACTTGGCTAATTCGTCTACGTGTCTTGGTAACACGCAAACATTTTATTTCCTTTAGACTTATTCTTTTTTCTCTCTCTCTCCCTCTCTCTCTCTCTCTCTCCATGATTTACTAAAAATCATCTTTCGATCAAGGCATCAATTTTTTTATTCTAAAGACCTCAGTATTAAGGACGCTATTAGACTTTTAGATATTATAGAAAAAGTAAAATCGAGAGCCAATATACAAAATGCAAGTACAGAAATTTTCAACCTCGAATTTTCTTTCCGTTTTCAGAGAATCGAGAATTATCATGTTGTCGCAGCGATTGCGCTGGCTACTGCCGGCATTAATCGTGTCTTGGATGAGCTTGCAATTAGGTGCTGCTTTGCCGGCTCACGACGAACGTTCGCACGTGTCTGCGAATACGTTTGATCCTAGGTCAGTATCACGCGAGAGATTCCCAATTAACTTTTGCGTAAATCGCGCACCGCACGTGTGCACGTGCATGCGTTAAGTATGTAAACCTGTACGGTAAATGTAGATTTAGAACAGTATGTACCAGCGTAATCAACATGATTCCATTACGCGTTAAAGGTGTGAGATAATACGAACAGTAGATTCTTCAGATAGAAATCGTGCCTCGCGTGGGAAAGACAGGAAGGAGAATGCGGAAGAAGAAGAAGAAGAATGAAAAACACGGTCGGCTCTTATTAAAGATACCGCGGCTTAGTTCCCGAGCTGCCAGACGGTCCTCCGGGCCTTAACGAGCAGGCTAATTAAGGAAATTGTGCGCCCGCATTGAACTCCCGTTCTTATCAGTTCGATGTAGATTCCTCGCTGATACATCGTCGCGCTGTCGTAACTCTCTATCGGGACCACTTAAATTCAAGAAATTAGCTTTGCTGAGAAACGAAAATGAGAGACTTTCCACGTGAGAAACGAACGATTACACCGGTCTGTCTTTGCACGTTCGTAACATCTCGATGTTACGTGTCGCGCGTTTGATTTATGTAGATAAAGATTTAGTTTAACACTCCGAGGTGGCGAGTGGCGACAATAATATTTCTGGACGCGTGCCTTCGTACGTTTGTAGCTCGGCCACTTCAACAATTACCCGTCAGGACCACGATGGACGAGCGCATCATCCTCCGAATGGCAAAAACGAGACGCAGTCCAGCCACAAACTGGTCGCTTCTCCGGCCGGACTTTTGCGGCCCGACAAGTTTCAGTTTTATACTTACGACGACAAGGGCGATATGATTACGCGGCAGATGACCGCTCAGGAAATTCAAGGTCTCATCGCGGCAGGTGGGGCGGATCACGTCGCGATGGACAGGCAGGAGCCTCAAAAAGCCGATGATGTTCTGACGGGCGGCAAAAAGGTCAGTTCATCGTCACTTGTTAAGCTGTTGTCTCTTGTCTAGTAGCTCTCTTGTCATAATACCTGCACAGATGCAAGTTAATAGCACGACTGGTATAAGATTTAATATTTATTATAGAATACTTTGCAGATTACCGAAAGTAAAAATAAAAGCAAACTGATAAAACATACACTGGAAAATCAAAATCAAACTAGAGTTCTAATCTAAAAACATTAATTAAGTAATAATTTTTCTAATAATTAATTAACTTTAATTAGATGAAGTATAAAAATCAAAAAAGTATAAACGTCGTATCTTTTTTTTTTTCACGAGTTCCAAACTTCGATTATCTTATTTATCTTATTAATCGCGCTACATATTTTAAATAAGGTCGAGTTAGATAACGCATTTTTTCGTATACAAAAAAAAATTGTTTTTGACAATTCAGTATTAATGGAAGAGGATATAATATCGATTGTATAGATTTCTAAAAATAATACATACATTATGATATTGGAACGAAGCAAATAAGAATGTATGAGATAGGAACTAACGGAGCTGTCACGCCTCTCCGTTTACGGATTTAACACGTTCCACGTCGCATTTTAGGTCATGGATGTGGTACAGAAGGTACAGAACGTGTTGAAGAGCGCACTCGATAAGCCACCGACCTTAACGGGTACGATACCGAAGATTCCCGAACACGCGAACGTCGAGTGGAGCAACATTCTACCTTCGATTCTATCTGGCGAGACAGACGCGATCTCCCCGAACAGCGAATCCAGTCAATTGTCGCATAAGACTACGACGGAGAAGATAGAAGCTGAATCGAAGCATCCGACGAAGAAGCCAGCGACGTCGGACGTTCAGACGAACGCATACGCTGGTTTTACCAATAACATGCAAGGGAAACCTCATCATGGTTATCACTCGCAACAAATGGCAGCGACCGAGAAACCGATGATACCGGTTCCAGTTATCACCCTGACGGAACAAAAATTGTCCACGTTGCAATCCGCCGTCACCGAGAGCCCCGTCTTCCAGATAATCAGCGTGATTCCGGTCGAGAGCGTCGGGATTAAGGGTGCAGATCAGACCGATCCGTCTACGGCTGATACCAGTGCCGCGAGTTCGGCGACTACCCATCAGCTCCTGTCTGCTCATACCGAGGGAAGTCAAACGGAGCAGTATGTCGAATTGGCTTTGTCGGAAGTGCCCGAAGACACGACATTCCCGCAGCTGACGAGTTTAGATATGTATCCCGTAAGTATCACGAAGCAGACGACTACGAGTAACAAAATAGACCAAGGAACAAAAGCATCGGCGATCTACTCGATGACCACGCCGGGCGTATCGACGCACTCCTCCATGGTCACGAAGCAGACCGTAACGCACGGCGGGTCCAGCGAATTGACGAGCGCGACCGACAAGATCTCTCCCTCGAACGCGAGTTACGTTCTTGTACAGAGCAAGAACAATACGAAGGTATCTGACGATTCTTCATTCGTGTCTGGGATTACGAAAGGCTCTCAAGCGAATAACGGGGCGAATAAAATTACATCACATAATGACGATAAAATAATCCCACATACCAATACCATCGCTACCCCGATTTCCCACGCGTCTCCGAAACCCGAGGCGGCGTCTAATGAAACCGCGCCGCCACACTCGCCGTCTACGCTCGCCTCTGTTACGAGAATCAAGGCCCCGACCGTCCCGACGACGTTGCACACGTTTACCGTCATCTCGGATCATTATCTCGGCGAAGGCTTCCCAACGGTTACGAAAGAGTCGTCGAGCTCGTTGGTTACACCGACCTATGGAGCGAATTATCTTAATTCTCTGCCGACCGAGATTCAATCCTCGGCGCCGATAGAACCGTTACCCACGCAGTTAATCGACTCCTTCTCGAGTGTAATAAATCAAGTTTCGGAAGTGAAACCACCTGTCTTGCCCCTCTCGTCCCCGATGAACGAAACGCCGGAAATACCGATCGCGAATATTAATTACAGTCAGAGGCGCAATGTGTCCGAGGCGAACAGAGAGAATGTCAGACCTGTCATTAATACGCAAACCTACGTGACCTTTACTACTGAGATTCCGCCGCGAGACAGCACTACCAAGATCGATTATTCGGTCACTTATCGGCCTCTCAGTACTCAGGTGAATGGAGGCTCTGCAAGCACGATCAACGTTCCCTCGAATTCTCGGATTACAGCATCGACAGCCTCGACTAGATTTGGCACGAGCAACAGAGTAACGATCAATAATTCAGCCACGACACCAGCTGGACTCAAATCGACTCAAATCAATGCAGCGATTTCGGGATCAACAGCATCCTCGCTCGTGCATCAATTCAAGAAGACACATGCTACAACCGCAGCTTTGCCAGCGGGTCAAACCGAAAGTCCCGCGACTCTTCAGAGTACTGCCAACAGAATCACACCGCCTGAAAAGACCTCGTCTACTTCAGCAGCGCTTAACGCAATCAAAACGCAGTCGACAACCGCGTCGATCGACACAAATCTATCTTCGAATAAGCCTGCGACAACCAATAAATATTTCGACAACACTCTCGCGAGTTTGAATCTGAGCGATCCAGTGTCTGCCATCGATAAAATATTGAGCGTCGCGTCGCTGCCGTCCAGCACCCCTGCGATCGAGCCGATCAATTTACCCGATAACATTCAGAATTTCGTTCTCGAAAATGCTAGCGATTTTGCAAGCAGCCTCATCGCCGGGTTTGCAAAGGACAATACGACCGTCGAGAAACTTATCAGCGATCAAGCAGCTAAGAATACATCGAGTCAATACACGAAGCTTACCCCAGAATCCATCGAAAATATTAATAAAAAATACGAGGAGATGGTGAGAGTTAATTTAAACAATCAGAAGGAAAGAAACGTTACGCAATCGACGCAAGAGACATTAGCGGACCCAACTCGAAACGGTACATTAATTTACGGTACACTAACACAAACGAAACAGTCGAATGATACTTTAGAGCCAACTAAATTGTCGAGTAATAACGAGAGACTTGACGACTCTGCGAAAGTACCTTCATCATCCCCGGCAAACAAGTTCACAAATGTCAACGGTGAATCGAAGGATATTATTAGGCAGAGCGCAACAACCGTGGGAATCGTTACTGTAAATCCTGAACAGACGACGATAACGACGACGGATGTTGGTATTCGATCGCCAGTGAGTTCGATCAATAAAACGACGCTTAGTACGAGTAACAACCAGAAGAGAACGGAAATTAAGGAGAAGGTAAAAGCCCCGACGGAAGCACCCATTGTGAGAACAGACTTAAATCCCGAATTATCTCAATTATCCGTTAAAATCGCGAATGATGCTAAAAATTCGGGACACGCGGAGAACAGTCCGAAAATAGAGGTGTTAGACAAAAAGAATAGTTCCTTTGCGAATGCTTCGTTAGTAACGTCTGTAACGAAGGAGACCGTAGCGATTCACTCTATTAATGATTCCATCTCCGAATCGAGCTCACAAGTGTATAGTAACGTTACAACGGACACCTCCATGTCGAACGTTACGTCTGACAGTGCTATCGTGTCAAAGAGAAATTCTACCAATCCTGCATTTTCACAGACTCCAAATCGCGTTACCAGCACAGCTGGCTACAAAGACAAAAATAATACTCAAAATAAAAAGGATAATATTAATGAGTCTTCTTCTCCATCGATCTCAGAGCATACCGATAGCTCGATTAAAGTAATGCAAGAATCGACGAAAGACGCAAGTGGGGAGAAGGGGAGCATTTCCCGGCCTGTCAATTCCGTCAATAATACGTCAAATCAGCATGACAAAAATATAACGCAGACTACGTCGACGGTCAACGCGTCAATACAGAACGACGGACATTTGAATAACACGGAGAACAAGACCGTGCAGTCTTTGAAAAATTTCGAGAGTTCGCCGAAACCGGACGTGACACGTTTGCCAGCGTCGACGCCGCCGTCGAATGTTCCGATCCGTCAGACGTCGAAGCCTGCGGTCGGTCATAGACCGTCGTCAGAGAAGTCCGACGTCACGAAGACTGGCGCGGATGTAAGCGCGGAAGACAAATGGACGCTTATATCGCAACAGACTCCGCCGGCTATGTCGAAGCTTCCGAAGCCGCCGAAACCGCCGAAGCCGCTGAGGAAACCAGTCAATCACGTCCAGACGTCGTCGACATTATCGCCTTCCAACTCGCCGAACGATCAGAGCACCCACGTTCGTTCTCCAGGAGTCGAAGCGACGGCGCATCAGCAAGAACAACAGCAGCAGTCCTCGACGCAATCATTTCTACCACTGGACGCGTCTCAGAGCGCGATCGGCTTAGACGTCACCATCAGACACACGAGCGCCGATATTGTAAACTTCGCCAAGCTGTGCAACGAGTTGGCCTTCAATTTCTGGGTAGCCACCAATAAGGGTCTGAGCACCGCGAGATCGCTGGCGCTGTCGCCGTTCGGCATGACCAGCTTGCTGGCGATGATCTTCCTGGGTGCTCGCGGTCCCACGTCCGATCAGATGAACGAGGTACTCGGACTGGACGACGTGGCTACGTTCAATCCGCACTTGGTCTTCCAGAACATAACCGACGCGGTCGGTCTAGCCCGTGGTCAGGGTATCGCGAACGCTGCCTTCGTTCGCGAGCTGTTCGCCGACAAGATGAAGGTCAGGAAACTCATGCCCTTCTACAAGGAGCAGGCTCAGCAATTCTACGAGGGGCTCGTGACTGAGGTGAACTTTGCCACCATCAGCGATCTCGTGCGCAGGAGAACGAATCTGCTGGTCAGGAAGCAGACCGGCGGCAGAATCAAGGACTTCGTCAAGACGAACACGGTGCCGCTCAGATCACCTTTGGCGGCGCTCTCCGCCAACGTGTTTCAGACCGATTGCAACAGCAGCCTGACCAGTTCCATTGGCAGGGACGGCGAGCTGTACTTTGCCGTCTCGCCGGCTGTCAGACAGAGAAAACTCGTACCGGTTCCGGCTACGACTTGGCGATCGAGCGTCTTGGCCGGCTATGAGCCGAGCATCGACGCTACGGCGGTCGCTCTTGGAGGCACCGACAAATTAGTTTCGACGATCTTCGTGTTGCCGGGTCAACAGGGTCACACCGCACCCGGCGACACCCTGGATCGTCTCGAGCAGCGTCTCGTCAGAAGCGCGTTCCGCGACGGTGCCTGGAACAAGTTGCTTAAGGTTCTGATACCGAGGCACGGCCTCGAACTGCAAGTGCCCAAATTCAGTCACAGATCCGTTGTCAACGCGACCGCCGCCTTGAAGAGGATGGGCCTCGATGAGCTCTTCTCGGGTAACGCCGACTTCAAGGGTATCAATGGCGTAGGTCACCGTCTTCACTTAGCCGATGTGTTACAGGTAGATACACCTGTCTACTCGATATATATCGATGCTTGGTAGGCACGATAACGCTCCTGATATAATCATAATTTTTTTTCGCAGATGAATTTATTCAGCACCTGCGGCGACGAGAATATTCTTAGTGGGCGGCATCACGTAGAAACGTATCCCGCGAGTCCATTGAGAAGAAGCGTCGGCCGACGAATGGAGGACGACAGTTTCGGTAACATTGAGGAGGACACATCGAGATACGGCGTGTTGCCTCAAGAGGACAATATTGATTCTTACGCAGACCAATCGCGCACAAATGTGTACGGATTCTACAGAGAGGAAAGGCAGCTCTCCGGGTCGTTGGAGAGACCGAGATTGAAACTTGACAGGCCCTTCTTATATTTCGTCCGACACAATCCTTCTGGTATAATACTTCACATGGGACGTTTCAATCCACGATTACTACCCTAAACAAAGATCTACCATCCTCCACCGAATGCCATTAATTCGATCCTGTTCCTTCTATTCGACATCTACATCCACGTATTCTTGTACGATCGAGGAAAACGATCGACTTTCGATACGAATTGCTCAAACGATACGAATTGCTCGTTCTCTATGTTAGTCGAACAACTCAACGCGACTCGCTCTTTCTGATCAACGAAGGTAGGACGTGTACTTGGCATGTTCTAGAAAATTTGTAAACAATTTTACTTAGAGTTATTATTACGTATATTAGTTTCTTCATCGTTTTCACGTAGAGATAAGAGATTAGCGCGATATCTCGCGATAATGTTCGCGGCACATTAATATATGTCAAACGGACTCACGGCATTGACATAAATCTTATCACTTTATGTTATATTTAGGGAATGGTTAAACGCATAAAAAATAACAGACTGAAGAACGGAGAAAAAAAGTGGTACAAAAGAGAAGGATCTTAATCGCGGTCCAAATGATCATCATCATTATTATTATTACTATATTTTTTTTATGTACGAGCAAAGTATGACGATTAATACGATCGACTGCGAGGCGAATATTAAACTTTTTATCGAGTGTCAATAATCTATTTGGACCCTGATTGACATATGCGTCTTTTTTTAAATACGATCAACAATTGTGATATGTAACTGAGCGTTGAATCTTTTTTTTGTACATTTCCATAGAATTAATCTTTTAGGACACGCGTTCAGTCCACATGCACGCACATTGTATATGAAAAATATTTCAATGTATTTTTTCTTGACACATGGAAACTTACACATCGAACGGATGACGTGTTGAATAAAAGCAACATCTCCCGTTCGTTCTGTCGTTTTTAAAGGTAAATTCCAAGCTGACTCTTCGGGCATTACCGTATTTGTGAGCATAAGATAAGAAAACTGCATTACGCTAATATCGTGCATACCATAAATAATAGTATGCGAACTTCTTTCCCAATACAGACAACTCTGAAACAGCGACTGACATTCGCATTGTAAAATATATCGCAATTTAGAATATATAGCAAATGGTGAAAATTACACTGTACCTGCTGCTACATATTTAAACTGACACGATCTTTGAAGAAAAAAAAAAAAAAAACATCGCACAGACGTATCACAATCACGTTATGATATATATATAGAGATATACACTTCGTATATACAACTTATTATTTTATTGCAAAGGGAAATTTTTATATTTTCGACTACTTATGCATATCATTGTCGTTATCTATGTTGAAATGGTGCACGTCATTGTTAAATGATAACGCTGAACGGCAATGAGGGGGTCTTCATTCGCTTATCGCGTAGTTATCGTAAAGTCGTCGTAAAGGTAGAAGCTTATTGTTTTTCAATTTTTAATGTTGCAACGCTGCTGTGACGAAACTGTGACTGTAAAACTGCCTGAATAATTCTATTTACAATTAGAGCTGCAGTTCCACAAACGCGAGCACCCTTCGGTACGATGCGCCGCGCGATCGTCGAATCGCATCGAGAGTGACAATCGTGAGTTTTTAAATATATTGATCGACATATAAGGTACGCGACCGAGTGACAAATATATTTCTCGTTCGCGATCTCGCGTCACTATCTGATCCTGGTATGCATTCACCACGATTTACTTTATATCTTAGTCCAATATAAAATCATTTTCCAGTATTTCTTGTCGCTCGCAAGCGATTTGCATGCGTTGTGTAACCTGCAGGAATTCAATGCATCAAGGAATTGATTTGGACTCCTCACTGGGCATCTTGCACTGACAGCTAGAACAAACATCGTACGGAACAGAGGCGTCTGGATAAACGATGGGTTGACACGATCGAGTTTAGATACTTTCGTTTGCGCTCAAGTGTTCCCCATCTGTTACGCAACGTTAGTGCGACGTAAAACAATGTAGAAACATCTTGCTTCGAACGGTACACGATGTTTCACAAATCGATAGGTTTGGTACACAAAAATCCGATTGCACATCGACTATTAATAGATATATTGCTCCGATAATTCAGTCGGCTCCTAACAATATATCCCCACGTCAAGAAGATACGAATGAGAATATGAAAAGCGGCACTTTTCTTTATATATCAGCTCGAGGATCGTTTATCATCGTAAATAAGTACTTGCGATAAGCCATGTAGATTAATAACGGCCGAAGGGAAAATTTGACTCTCCAACTATCTCATATCCAGGATGTTTTTTTTGATTCTGTTGGTATGTATACCACAGCCTTGCTAACAATTAATTAATATTGGCTCGTCGATTTATATATCAATAACGTAATTTGATACGATAATATTGCGCTTCTAATCGGCGGCGATTATCAGCGTTTGTTTCGCCGATCGCTATCGAGATCTTGGATCGAAGCTTTGTTTAAGTCGCGCTATTGTTAATCGTCGCTACGAAAACGCCACAAAGCGGCGTAATGTCGAGGGAATAAAAACTAGACACTACTCGAAACACGCGTTTCGTCTTACAATTAGACGGGGTGAACTCCGCGCGACTCGAAAGATATATATCTATAATGCGAATTATTCAGGATGCGGATTGCTCCGGCCGCATGCTGGCTACTATCCTGGTCGCGTGGGTAACGACGGCGATGATAGCCTCGATATTACTGCAATGGGATCACATGTGGATCGTTTTGGTGGTACTGACGGTGCTCTTCTTCCTGGTTTGCGGATACACCGTCTACACCGTTAAACGAACTCACGCGAGAATTCTGATCGAGCAACAAAGAGTGGCGATTCGGACTATCTCGGACATTACTGCCAATCGCAGACAGGTACTTTTCTCTAACTTATTATGTTTTCGAAGAATATCTTGCGGAGATCTATTGTCGCAAGTCACGTGGAGAAAAAATTACGACATAAATTAGATATGAATAAAAAGTACTACTATACTTTAAACTGTGCTATGGAAATGATGTGAAAGCATTGTTTATCTTTAACAACGCTAATTATACGCTATAATTAGTTAAACTTTAATTTTCTCCATAGTATTTTTTTGTATACATAAAATAACATCTCGAAGAAAAAAGAACTAAATTTGTACCTCTGTATATGCATTCTTTACAGACGGGATCTTCGACAATAGCGGTGCACTCGACTCCAGATTTACCGCCGTCTTATGCGTCTGTGGTGGCCGTTCAGGGACCATCGATGTCTACCCAGACGTCAGTGACCATCGGTCCACCTGAGGACAAATTCGAGAATCCTCCGCCGTATTCCATCGCGATCGCTTCTATAAATGCGCAAGAACAAAACGTGGAAATCTCGAGAGAACAGCCGCCCGCGTCCACGGAAAAGGACGATGCTGCCGCTTCAACTACTCGCACAAGAATTCGACGTATTATGGATGCCCGAACGGTGTCCCGTTCGTCGCACGTGGATGTCCACAAGATGTACCGAATATGTTCCGAGAATTGAATTAATCCTGCAGAAGACGTGGACGGGATTGGCACTGAAAAAAATGCCGAAATGCGTACGAACGAATATTTTGACGATCCGCGCTCATAATATCGATTGGGAATAACCCGAATCTATAATTCGGGAATAATTCGAATCATGAAAACGATCGTTCGTATCTTGAATTGAGATATCGTCAACGAGAAGAGTTTCACCGAAGGAAAGCGACCGATCAGAATTCGTATGTATACGATCGAACAAAAGCGCATTTGCGGACAAAAGTATTGCGACATCTGTTTCGTTGAGAAAATTTTAGTTGAATAAGTTCCACTTTTTATATACGCAATATTTTATCTCAGATTTTATGATACACAAAATCTTAATTAAATTTTTATTCTTCTGAATGTTCTTCTCAACACACAAGCGGATTGTCTACAGTTATACACACTTATTATAATTTTTACAGCAATCGTCCAAGTATTACAAAGACTGAGACCGAGTACAAGCGGTTGATCTCTTTTCAGTATATAACTCGTAATATTCGAAGACACTCAGACAGCACACGCGTTTTCTATGAAACATATATTACAAAGTCGTCATTTTTAAGACGTCTTTAAAATTTTACTGGAAGATGCTCTCAAAATTTTTTGACAATCCAAACCAATAGATATTATACATATATAGATTTTATGACAACGTATGTACGATTAACTTTATGTGCAAGATAAGCGTTACAATGCATGTAATATCTGTTGCTCTCCTTATTGTATGTATGTAGTACTACGTCACAAATTCAACTACAAAATGATAAACGAATGGGCCACACGACTGTCGCGAGAATATACAATTAATTCTGCATGTACGTGATACGGAAACAAATAACGTATAATAACATGAATTTTATTATTACTGAAAACTGAAATATTGAACAATAAAAAACAATTAACGATAATTAAGCCGTATTTATTTTTTATTATATATCAACTTGAGATTATACGAAACTTGTTAAATTTCATTAAGCGCGAGCAATATTGCGATCAAAAATGTCGTTAATATATTTACGTGTTATGGTTTTCCATCGGTTCAAATATTGATGAATTGTACAAAATTTTCTACGGAAATATTCAACGCACAAAAAATAAGCAAAGCTTTAAAATAAATCAATGATTAAATTAGAAGCTAAATCGCGATAAGAAGTTAGTATACAGATAACGAATAAATCGATTGACAATTCTCGCGATACTTATACTTTCCTGAATTTCACATAATTCGCAGCATTTTAATTCTTAAAGTATTAAATAATTTGTAGTCCTTAACTATCTGTATTTTTGTCTATTTTCCTTATACCTACCCATATTTTTATTTATTCTTGCCTATCTATTCCTACCTACCCACCCGTATATTTTTACTTAATGTACAAATATAGAAAATATAGAATACGCAATAAAACCGTCGATTTTATGATACAAGAATACTTAACATATGTCTTAATGGATATTGGTTAAATGGGATAGCCTAACCGCGATTAAGAAAAATATGAAAACAGAAAAATAGACAATAATTTGAAATAATGAAAATTATAAAAATTCGCAATTCAATTTGCGAGCAAGTTTACCTTCCCGAATATTAATAAACCCCCAATCATAATAGCATATAATTTTTATAATGGCATAGATATGCATCTTTATTTTGACCCATTATAGACCTTACCTTACAAAATGTGGCGTATGTAGTTTCTTCTGGCCAGATTGGACTTGCCATCTATTACATTGCTCCTGGCCAAATTCTCGTAGAATGTTTGGATTCTGTCAAGCCTCCTGTTTCAAATTAAAATAAAATTCAGAAAATTCAACATTCCAAAAGATAATTCTTACAAATATTCATACATTTTTATGTTTCAATTAAATAATTTTCTTTTTTGCAGACCGCGCGGGCATACACGGAAATAGGATCAGTTCCGGAATGAAGGGCATAATTGTGGCTGATATAATTGATAAGTGGATTTGTATCTGCATTTGACTAACACGCAACATAATAAAATCACGCACGCATTAATATGCGATTGTTTGAAAGCGTATGTACTTCGCAATTATTCGACTGGCCGAAAATCAGGTCGTGAAGCGTCGCCGCGCGGCGCTTGTTTTGCGTAAGTTGACCGCGTGCGGAACAAATTGCTCCGTTTCGTCATCTTAATTACGCATTTATTTATACGTACATGGATAAACGCATAATTAAGATGGCAAATAGGCGCAATTCGTCCCGCGTACGGTCGGCTTACGCGAAATAAACGCCGCGCCGACGCGATCAGACACGCGGTAAAGTTGTGGTCGACTATGCGAGCGAATTAACTGTAATCTAATGATTTCGGATCAATTTTCAATTTTAAATCTTCATATAAAATAAGGCAAATTGTCTCAGAAGTAAACTTTTTCGGTATGCTTTAAAATTAATTTATGTATCTCGAGATAATTCATTTCAATATGCTTGGAAGCATTAAAATAAGACAATTAAGCATTCACAATGAATATAAAATGATGGAAAAAACAAAATAAATTTTTTATAGATTACATGTATCATTTTCCGCATGAATTTCCTCCTAAATGCATTCGTGACGTGTCATCCATCTTATGCAACGCATGAGCTGTCTCAGACTGCTACTGCTACATCGTCGGAGTGTCCTTAACCTTTACGGGCTTTGCGCGACGCGACGTAATCGGTAATACTCCGCTAAAATGTGGTTCGAGTCTCCGCTAAGTGAGGTTCGAATCTTCGCTAAGTGGGGTTTGAGTCTCCGCTAAGTGACCGCGAGTTTGATCAATAATCAATAAAATAAAATTATAAATCTCCGCTAAGTGGGGTTTAAAATTTGAATCTCCACTAAATGTATATTTAGTTCGCGATATTTACAATTATTGAATTATGCCCTCTTGTCCCTAACTACCTGTATTCAATATAACAATAATAATAAGTATAATTATATTTTTTTACGTTATTAACATTTATATTTTATTTGCGATATCCACAATTATCGAAGATCGGAAGAGCA